TGCAGATCCAACAACGAGTACCATTTCATATCCTAAAAAGGGGCACTTCCTGAACATTTTTCATTGAATAATGCTAGGTAGACTAAACTTATTGACTAAATTTACAAATTAAATAATATGTCACCAATAAAAAATAAGTACGTTAATCAACACTTAAATATAAACTAATTATCAACTTAAAATTATTTAATTTATAAAATTTAATATACAAATTTAATCTCCCTATTATTATCCATTCTCCTTTGTGGAGAACGACTTTAGACGGTTACCGGTACTCGAAGAAAACTGAATTTTCCAACTCCCACACTTTTTATAGTTTTTATTCTCTCTCTTCTTTTTAGTTTTTTATGTATTATACGTATGTGTTAAAGCCCTTGATATTGAGGTGACGCGTCGTGCAATTTGCATGGCGGAAAATACAGGAACGCAAACTGGAGAGAGAGAGAGAGAGAGAGAGAGAGAGGGGAGGACGACAGAGAAGTGGACTGTTGAGCCAAATAACATATGATCAGGAACGGATGATCAGACACGCTTAAGCGTATGGAGGAGATAAATTGTAAACCGCGAAAACGATGACAGGGACGTGAGGAAGGTCCAAGCAGTAGCATGACCAACCAACATCAACTACCGAAGCACCAAGTACAGAACTAGCCATGCCACTCATACTATCCTGCTTTTCCATTTCCAACCCCCACATGAAAAAGCACTTCCCACTGAAAGCACTTCTCCTCTTTCTCCTTCTCCTTCTCCTTCTCCTTCCCAAAAGCACTCCGAATGGAGCTTGAAAAAAGCAGTGACAGAACACGCGCCGCCGCATTCTCCTCCTCCTCCGCCACAAGCAACATGAAACCCACCCCCGCTGCTGCCAGACCCGACAAGTCAATCGCTCACTACAGGGAGGACGCCAACCTCTTGGCCGAGTACGAGCAGTCTGCCGTCTCCGGTAAGTCCTTCAACTACACAAGGTCAGTGCTTTTTCCTCCGGATTCTGTCCCCGAGGAGCAAGTCAGTGCCTACTTATCGAGAATCCAAAGGGGTTCTCTCGTCCAATCCTTTGGCTGCATGCTTGCAATTGAAGAACCTACTTTTCGAATTATCGGTTTTAGTGAGAATTGCCATGAATTGCTCGGTTTGGATAAATTGGATAGTGTTTTCGAGTCAAATGAGTTAATGGGTTTGATTGGGGTGGATTGTAGAACTCTGTTTACTCCTCCTTCCGCGGCTTCATTGACGAAAGCTGCTGCTTCGAGGGAGATTTCGCTGTTAAACCCGATTTGGGTGTATTCTAGGAGTACCCAGAAGCCATTTTATGCTATTTTGCATAGAATTGATGTGGGAATTGTGGTTGATTTGGAGCCTGCTAGGTCTGGTGATCCTGCATTGTCACTTGCAGGGGCCGTACAGTCACAGAAGCTCGCGGTTCGCGCAATTTCTAGGCTTCAGTCTCTCCCTGGAGGGGACCTTGGTGTGTTGTGTGACACAGTTGTAGAAGATGTTCGGAAGCTTACTGGATATGACAGAGTTATGGTTTATAAGTTCCATGACGATGATCACGGTGAGGTTGTGTCTGAAATTAGAAGGTCGGATTTGGAGTCTTATTTGGGTTTGCATTACCCTGCCACGGATATCCCTCAAGCTGCCCGTTTCTTGTTCAAGCAGAATCGCGTGCGTATGATCTGCGATTGCTATGCGAATCCAGTTAAAGTCATTCAAAGTGAAGAACTGAAGCAACCTCTGTGCTTGGTCAATTCAACTCTCCGGTCTCCACACGGCTGCCACAGACAGTACATGGCGAACATGGGCTCGATTGCCTCGTTGGTGATGGCGGTTATTATCAATGGTAATGATTCAACGAAGCTTTGGGGGTTGGTGGTGTGCCACCATACTTCCCCCCGCCATGTCCCTTTTCCTCTTCGCTACGCTTGCGAGTTTCTTATGCAGGCATTTGGGCTGCAAATCTACATGGAGCTTCAATTGGCATCGCAGTTGGCTGAGAAAAAGATTCTCAGAACACAAACCTTGCTTTGTGACATGCTCCTCCGTGATTCCCCATCCGGTATTGTGACCCAATCTCCGAGTATAATGAATCTCGTCAAGTGTGATGGGGCTGCATTGTACTATGGTGGGACATGCTGGTTGATGGGTGTAACTCCAACTGAATCACAGGTTAAAGATATAGCAGAGTGGCTGCTAAACAATCATGGGGATTCCACCGGTCTGAGTACCGATAGTTTGGCGGAAGCTGGTTACCCCGGTGCACCTTTACTGGGCAATGCAGTTTGTGGTATGGCTACCGCAAGGGTCAGTTCAAAAGATTTCTTGTTTTGGTTCAGGTCCCACACGGCAGAGGAAGTTAAATGGGGAGGAGCTAAGCATCATCCAGGGGACAAGGATGACGGTGAAAGGATGCACCCGAGATCATCGTTTAAAGCTTTTCTTGAGATAGTAAAAACTAGAAGTTTGCCTTGGGAGATCTCTGAGATTAATGCCATCCACTCTTTGCAGCTCATCATGAGAGACTCGTTTCAGGATATCGAGGAAACTGGTTCGAGGGCAGTGCAACAGAGTGACGCTGAGATGCAGTTGCAGGGGATGGATGAACTCAGTTCCGTGGCATGTGAAATGGTTAAGTTGATTGAGACAGCTTCTGTTCCAATTTTCGGGGTTGATTCGGATGGTCTCATCAATGGATGGAACGCAAAAATAGCTGAGTTGACAGGATTACAAGATAGCGAAGCGATGGGGAAGTCCCTAGTTAATGAGATTGTTTACGAGGACTCGCGTGAAGCTGTTGAAAATCTTTTACGCAGAGCCTTACAAGGTAAATCTTTGATTGCAGTTATAAATTACTATCTGTGAGGATTTGAATGCCAATCAAATGGAATTTACTTTCGAAATTTTCGTGCTTAGTTTGTGTCCTCTCTTACGCCTCTCAATAATTTTCCCAAACAATATGACCGTTGTTAACTTCTATACCATCCAGGTGAGGAGGACAAGAACGTTGAGTTAAAACTGAGAAATTTCGGGCTTTCGCAGCATAACTCGGTTGTCTATATTGTTGCCAGCACTTGCACAAGTAGGAGTCCTGCAAAGAATGTTGTCGGTGCATGCTTTGTGGGGCAGGATATTACTTGTGAAAAGGTTGTTATGGAAAAATTCATCCGCCTGCAAGGGGATTACAAGGCAATCATACAAAGTCTTAACCCGTTGATTCCACCGATATTTGCATCTGACGAGAATGCCTGCTGCTCCGAATGGAATTCAGCCATGGAAAAGCTTACTGGTTGGACAAGAGATAACGTTATTGGTAAAACGCTTCCTGGGGAAATCTTTGGAGGTCTTTGTCGACTGAGAGGTCAAGATATACTGACTAAATTCATGATTATGTTGTACCAAGGAATCAGTGGTAAAGAGATTGAGAAGTTTCCGTTCGGGTTTTTTGATAGAAAGGGGAAGTTCGTTGAGGCGCTCTTAACAGCTAACAAGAGGACTGATGCAGGTGGGAATATAATTGGTTGCTTCTGTTTCCTGCAAATTTTTTTGCCTGACTTGCAGTCGGCCTTGGAAGGACACATACAAGAGGATGGAGAATGCTTTTCGAAACTTAAGGAATTAGCATACATGCGACAAGAGATGAAAAACGCGTTAAGTGGTATTCAGTTCACCCACAGACTCCTTGAAAGTACGACTATTTCAGAATATCAGAAGCAATTCCTCGACACTAGCAATGCGTGCGAAAGACAAATCATGACAATCATCGAGGATATAGATGTGAAGAGCATAGCCGAAGGGTGAGTATTCGTAGTTGGTTCATGATATGCGTAAGTTAACTGTTGTAACTTTATTTCTACAGTTTCGTTTCTATTTTAGTGTACTGATGAGCCTGTGTGACAACGCCTCACATCTTCTCCGCGTTAATGCAGTAGCGTGAAGCTGAACATGGAAGAATTTATGTTGGGAAGCGTAGTGGACGCCATTATTAGCCAATCAATGCTCTTGCTGAGGGAAAAGAATCTGCAGCTCTTTCATGAGATTCCAGAAGAAATTAAGTCACTGTCTTTACATGGCGATCAAATCCGGCTTCAGTTGGTTCTGTCAGATTTCTTGCTCAATGTGGTGAATCACACACCTTCCTCGAATGGCTGGGTCGAAATTAAAATTTCACCTGGTTTAAAGTTGATACAGGACGGCAACAATTACATCCGCCTCCAGTTCAGGTAACGGTCTATGTTTTACTACGCACGTATACTAAATTTGGCATCAGTTCAACCTGTCCTCAACAAAGTTTATAGCCGGAGCCTTAAACCCTGAACCCTATTTTGCATCTTCTCGTGCGTGTAGAATGACACACCCCGGCCAAGGCCTTCCAACGACGCTTGTACAGGATATGTTCGAGGGAGGAAACAGATGGACGACACAGGAAGGTCTCGGACTAAATCTGTCACGAAAAATTCTGAACAGAATGAATGGTCAGGTGCAGTATGTTAGAGAGCACGATAAATGCTACTTCCTCGTTAACATTGAACTTAAACACAAGAAAGAAAGGCAGAGGGTATTTGTGTCTCATGAGAGCACAACGACTTGAATTTGATGAGAGCATCTGTGTTTATCGAGTCTCCATCTGTTTGGCATTGTATTTTACCAATCTTGTTTAGAACAAATAACTAAATAAATATCATAAGGATTCAACATAAGATAGGAGTGTCGGCTGTCAACTACCTGACGCCCTCCCCCTCCTCCTTTATCCGGGCTTGGGACCGGCAATGTAAGACAAACTTACACAGGCGGAGTTAAAATAAATACATAAAATAGCATGTATCAATTGTGTATTTTGTGTGAATGCAAATCTTTAGATGATCATATATTGAAAAATGATTTGCAGACACCTCTGATTATCTTTGTCCACGGATTCATCTCCGATTTGTTCAATCTGAAGGTTAAAAATATGCATGGATGCGCATACAAAACAAAGGGTGCGTGAAAATCACTTCCCGTTTCAATATTCAACTACACATTTGATAACCTTTCGATAATTAATTTGGAGCTGAGAAATCACAATCTCAAATAAACATTTGAATTTTCCATTTCAAGAACTGCAACAAAATAATAACGCCAAAAAGCAGCAGGTTTTTCCCCCACTATACAATTTTGTACCCCATGTCAAATAACCACCCCCCCTCTCAAAACACATGTACTCAGATACCCATATGCACATCATATTTGCAGGCTACCTTATCCACACCCCGAAGTCGCACAACAAAAATGAGCCCAAAAATCAGAAACCTGCACAACCGGCGGCAACTGCTGTCAGCAGGGAGGATTGGATTCGTCGACATGCACTATTATCGTTCTCTCCTGTGACCGTTAACTGCAGATAAACAAAACGCTGCCGGATGTTTCCAGTCAAACACTCTAGAAGATACTACTAAAAGGAGCTACAAAAGAAACTCTGCATCCCGTACTTCTCCGACTTGTACATATATATACTTGATAGGTGTATGATTGTTGGAAGCCACGGCCACCACCAAATTCAGCCCTGGCATCTGCTTTGATACACTGTTAACTCTTATCTGGCTTCTCGTCAAAGCCACGCTTTGGGCTTCCTGATGAATCAGAGTCCGACTCCTTTTCCTGACCAACCTGGATGTCCAAATTGTTGGAAGGAAGATGCTCTTGGATGATCTAGATAGAACAAATGCTTATCAAATATGTCTTCAAATGTATGGAATATCAAAACAATTAAACTAGTTTTATGAAGCAAAGAATCAAAGAAAATGCGAGCACATTAATCACTACAAGTTTCATGAAGCCATTGTTTTCCTGTAGTGTTTACTGTGTTACCTGATCACCAGCCTCAGAACCCTCTGAGTGAAAGAGAATCGGACGACAACGTTTGTCTTCATTCATTAGGCTTGAATTTTGAAAGTGGGCTACAAGAGCCACCTTCCCCTGGATTCGAGCATAAGCCAAGGAGGCAACTTTCTCACTATTGAACTTCTCCCACTTCTTTCCATTAAACGCCTGTAGAAAAATGGAAGTGTACATTAATAACACATCCTGTTACCATGCCGATACCATTTCAGTTTCTCAAGGAGAAGGCTCAAATTGACAGTATGCATATCGTTCAATGAATACAATGATGTAGAAATAACCCAAAGAATTGAATATAAAATCCAAAGTGGCGAAAGAACAAAAAGAAAAACGAAAAAGCACCTCATAAAATGGGATGATGTGTGAAGGAGACAGCATATTGATAAATGCATAGCCCACATTGCATTTGTTCTGCACATAAAGAGTAAATATCAATCAAGGGAGAATTGTAGAAGAAAATAAATGAAAATATATTATCGCATACAAAGTATCAAAACATACTCTTAAGGAAACCAAAAATTACCTTAAAATCAATTGGCAGATAGAGAAAATCAAAAGTACCCCTGTGATTTTCATCTATTGCCGCAAGTAACATTTTCGAGGTGTACCTAATGACAACAAGAATACGAAAATCATGATAATGGCCGTCAAATATGATAAATACATGAAATACTGTAGACGTCAGTCTTACTTGTTTGGAATATTTTTAATCATTAATGTTGTTCGAGTATCTTCCCCGGAGACAATCTTATCCAAATCAAGCTGAAACTGCTTCTTGCTATCAATCTGGGTCCCATTATTCTCCATTCGTCTGCTCCTCCCACGCTCAATCAAACCATCTATGCTTGTAGGTGGCAGTCCTGCGTACGGGCCATTCCCTAAAAATACAGGGCTAAGCTTCGGTGAGCCCACCATTTTAAAGCTTGACAAACTACTTTCAGACATGTTTCCCAGTATGGATATGCCACTATTTCTTGAAGCACGAGCACCCATGTTAATCATAAAATTTCCACGACTGGGGCCCAAACTCATGCCTCCATAGGCAGCGGGACCCAAAAAAGATGTTTCTGGTGACTCTGGAAAGTAATTAAAGCGGCTGTCTAAATGAACACCAGATGGGGCAGATCCAACATGATGATGATGATGATGATGATGATGATGATGATGGGAAGAGCTGAGCAAAGAGCCATTATGACCCGAGAATGGAAAGGCATGCCCCTTCCCATTGGATGTAAGTTGATGTCCCACTGATTGGTGATGCCAAGCTGAAGAGTTGGTGTTTTCTGAGTAAGGAGTCGGACTCCCCCAAAGGAATTGCGGGCCTGATAATGTTTCCACATGAGATCCACTTGAGGTTGAAGGACTGAACGAGGGCATGGATCCTTGGAAATGGGTTGAGTTCTCTGGAAATGAGTGGGATTGTTGAAATGCAGATCCGTGGGATGAGTTTGTATTGGAAAGTATATGATCAGCATGACTCCCCCTTCCATGGTTATTGCCAATGGGTGCAACCTTCACAGTGTTTGATGTCTGGGGATGCAGAATTGATGCTAATCCAGACAAATGGTTGCTGTTTGTTGGACTAATTGTCCCAAAACCAGGAGATTTACTAATACTCCGTACAGGACTATGTTCCATTGGGTTGTGAAACTGAGCCCAGTTACCTATAAAGAATTTTGCATTGACCTCATTTTGTAAGAAAAATGCAATAACAGAAAATATTTACTTGTTGAAGCCCTTATATGTTCACGAGTGATAAAATTTATCTCCAATGAGAAGTTACCTGGTGGAGAGATGGTTATCGGGGAACCCACTGGATGTCGAAAACTCTGAGATTCATCTTGTTCAGGGTCTTGATTCAGTTGCAGCATCAAGCTAAAAGGTAGAGGATACAATCAATTAAAGACACCAACAGTTGGTTCAAACTTCAAACACAATTAAACAAACCAAAATCCAAGAAACCAAATAGAAACAAGATCACAACAAATAATCACAAAGCAAGAAATCAAAACATTTATATTGTCAACTCACTTTCGACGAGCTCCACCAGGTCGACTGGGTTCAAGCTTTATGCGTTTACCAGCTATGTCACTCCTATTTAACGACTTAAGGGCTGCTTCTGCAGCTCTAACATCATAATACTCAATAAATTTATGATGCCTCTTGTGTGGTGTTTCCCTTATCTGCTTTGTACAATGAACACCAGAAACAAAAATTAACCGCCTCATACTTTCAAAAGTAAATAAACACAAAGCAAGAAATAGAGGGGGTGAAGCAAGATACAATCATCACCTCTTTGACCTCGCCATAAGCCCCAAATATTTGACGGAGGTCTTCATTTGAAACTGATGGATCCAAATTGAAAACTACCAAAGTTCCTTGATTAATATCCTTCTCTGATGGATTATCCTGGTGTTGCATGAGAAAGAATGCAAATATTGTAATTTATATTTTCACATATACAAATGAATGTCAAAGAACAACTAATTTAGTACTGGAAAGTTGTTTTGACCTTTGGAATTGAGAAGTGAATATCAAGTTTCCTACGTCGCAGAGGCTTGTTTTGTAATGTGCGCATAGCAGTTCGAGCAGCACGAATATCATAATAAGATATCATCACAAAGCCCCTATGTTTACACGCAGTGTACAGCGTTCTAATATCACCGTATTGCTACAAAATAGATAAATGAAAACACAAATTAAGAGCTGGATCTTCCAAACTGTATGGTGTCAGATGATGCATCAGATTTTATTATTTAAACAACTGTTCTGGGATTCAAATACACAATGCCGTATGAGTAAGAGGCAAAACTTGTACAAATGTACGATAGGTAAAACCTGTACATCAATATGAAAAATAAAATCTGGTGGCTATGATCATCTAGCAGAATAACTAAAATGGAACCAAATCATTAGAAATGAAAAGAAAAAAAGATCAGGTGATAGGTACTATTTTCCTTTTATGCACAGAAGAACATGCCAGATAATGTCAATACTTAAGATCATCCAAAAACAAATTAATGCATTGCTCCTATTCGCAGTTTAAAATCAGGAAGTGCATCTTATGCTCAGAGAGTGAAAGATTTATGCTAAAATCAGTTGGGTGAGTAATATAATCCATTACAATTTCTCGGGAGGTGATTAGAAAACCAAACAAAGGATATGGGTATTACTGGTATGAACATGAACACAAGGAGTTTTGCCTTGATTAAACTACCTCAAAAAGTGTTCTCAGTTCTGAATCCTCAACATTACTATTGATATTTCGCACAAACAATGTTCTGGAAGGATGCTCTCCATATGGATGCTCTCCAGCAACAGCTCCCACACCATTTGGAAGGGCAAATTGAGCCATCCCATTCCCAGTAGAACTGTCAGCTAAACTTACTTTTGACATGCCTATTCTCAGGCTCTCCTGTGCATCAGTTTCCAATTCCATGCCGCCTCCACTACCAAATAGATCATAATCTTCCAAGTCTTCCAGTGAACCAGGCAACCCACTGAGGTCAAGATCATCCGCTATGCCAGCTAATAGCTCCTCCTCATCGCCAGGAAGCAAGCTTCCGATTGCATGAGTTTCAATTTCTTCAAGCAGATCATTACCCTCCAAAGTTTGGTGGAGTTTATCTAAGCCAGACGAAAGATCATCAATAGATTGAAAGTCATGTTCAGTACCATTCACGTTCACTGCACATATGCAAAAAGACATGAGGCTTTCCCTTCTAAACCTGGATGTTAAAAATCTCTATACAATAGCTCACGCATACACTTCGGATGTGGAAGAACAGGTAGTGAGCTTGAAAAAAGGGTAGCATCACTTGAGGCATTGTAGGCACCAGATCCAGATAAAATACCCCATCCTCCTCTACCCACTTCTTTAGGAATGCCCACCATTGGAACCTCAGTTGAGCCTACAAGACAAATTAACAGATATGTCAATCAGATCACAAATAGCACATAATCACTACATACACGATATACGATTGAAGAATATTACCAGAAGATGAAAAGTTCAAAGATTGATTCATTGCATCCCTTTCCTGTTTACCGTGAACAATACATAAGAGTTAAACTTCTGTGATGGTAACAAAGTAAGAGTAAGAGAAGAAAAAAAAAATATATATATATATATATCATTGATGGGAGTACACTGATGCTATTGACCAATGAGAAAAACCAGTGCATGCACAATGAAATTATTGCGAGTAAAGGAACTCAAACCTTACTTGTGCTCTAGCAATGAGTTTCAAGAAAACACAATACCGTTCTGTTTAAATCTTAAAAAAATCAAACCCCAAACTCATCATCATGTTCACAGTAATACCATTGAGTTAAATATACAGCTTATCGGAAGTCAATCATAATTTTCAAATCTTTCTCACAATTTAAGCAAAACAGAAAATTTCTGAAGGCCACACAAAGGTGCACAGAAACAAATATCACATTCCTAAAAAAATCCAGGAGCCCTTTCCTTTTAAACCAAACTGTAGTTTACCAATTTAAAAGCCCCTTATCCAGGTGTAGAGAATTGGCACCAGAAAAAAAAAAAACAACTTCCATCTAGAGCACTCAGATTGCCCGATTCAAGAAATCAAAGACGTCTCGGCATAGAAATACATCAAATTCCAGTTAGGAAAGGAATTAACAGAATATTGTTCGGAGGGTAGGTGTCCATTTCTCTATAGGTAGGGCAATTTACGGCCAGAGATAAATGCTCGTCTTGAATTCACAAATATAAACAGCAATTTATATGGAATCAAAGACCCATACTTTTATCGATTACACTAAAAGTTTCAAACAGCCTTTAAATATTCTATAAAAAAAAAATAACATAAAATCTCAGAAATGCATCTCAGTCCAAGCTCTCAAGTTCTCAGAGTGGGGAATTACTGATTAGAAAATTCTTTGCTCCTTTTTGTGTATGAACTAATTAGCACAGTAGCCATCTAAATACCCAAAAAAAGCTCAATGATTTATACAATTTGGTCAAATTTTATACAATTTCCAGCAAAACCCAATACTCAATATTTTAAAAGGAACCCAGTAAATGATTGAAGCAATATTATACACAACTTTTGCAAGTCCAAAAAACCCATTTGATCAAACTTACCAAATACTGAAAAAATAAAAATAAAAACAAAATTACAACCAAAATATGGATTAAAAATTACCTCAACAGCTAACAGAGGCAAAGCCAAACCCTAGAGCTTCGAAGTGAAGAGACGATCACAGAGACGGGAGCGGTCTTTCTTCCTTCCCCACTCCTGCAGCCACTCTCTCTCTCTCTAAAAACCAATTGGAAATTATTTAGAGAGAGAGAGGAGAGAGCGATGATGATTGGACGATAAAAGTATTAAAAAACCTAAAAGGGCAGAGAATGATTGAGAGAGGGAGGGATGGGTCTGGGTTTGGATTTTGGTTTGTGAGGAAAGGGGGTGGGGTGGTTTCAACTTTCAAGTGCTATTTAAATTGAATTTTTGGTAATCCAACAACAAGAAGTTAGTCTTTTTTGGATAAGTTAATTAATTTTTTTTGGTTTAAATTATTAAAAATAAAAGCAGAAAAAACAAAAAAGGGAAAGTTTTATCGTTTGGTTTAAGGAAGTTTTAACGTAATACTATGGTACTGTTTATTTTTAATGTTAAGAATATTTTTACTCTAAAAAGTCACTCATGGTACTATTTACTTACAACATTTTTTTTTCTTTTTTATTAAAATTCAAAGTTTTTAAGCTCTTTTCGTTAGTTTTAATCAATGAAAAGAGCTTAAAAACTTTTGTCCTTTCGGTTCCAATGTTTATCCACAGTGTTATGGCATGATTGGCATGATTGGCATGATAATCAGCCATGCATCATATACTCCGAGAAACTTTTTGGTGTTTCTGGAACACGGATGATACTTCACATATAATGTATCAACGCATGTACAATGACATGTGGCGCACCAGTACCAGTATCACCACGTGCTTCGGTTATACTGAAAATTTTCTCGTATACTCCACCATATCTTTAGGTTTTTAAATTAACAATTTAATAATAAAAAAAATTTGTAGCTCAAGTGATTAATAATTTTTAAGTTGATGGTTAGTGGTCTAATAGTATTCGTCTCTAGTAGCAAGTGGAAAGTGTTAGGTTCGAATATCGTGAATGAATTCAATACAAAATTAATATGGTTAGCCCATATATATAGTTATGTATCCCTTACGGACTCGGAGAGCCAGGGTCGTATTTATACCATTTGCAACTAAGTTCAAGTCTTTACTTCCTAATTAAAAACATTATATTTCTTTAAAAAAAATTGATTCCTGACAATATAGTCATCGGGTTAGGTTTTCAACTCACTTAGTATTTTTTTAGTAATAATATTTTAATTTAATACAAACTATAAACAGAAGAATAAAGATTCTAACTTAAGTGTAAAGATTAAGCACACGACTCTAATCGATTTAAGTAAATTTAATCAATTTGACATGTGCGTACAAGTAAGTTGTTTTTTCTTCCCTTTAATTATTGAAAGGAAGAGTGGGAAATGGGCCACGCACTCGATAAAAATGTAAGAGTTTTCAACTTTGGAGTAATGTATGAAATTCCACTTGTTATCCATTTAACTAGTAGATTTATGGGCCTTTTGCTTTTGCATAACATATTCGTCCTCAAACCTAACTTTCCCATTAAATAATATAATATATTCAAACTTGGTCTAATCACATGACTTGTCAGACATGATTTGTCCAATGGAACCGGATTCCCTCCGGACTCAAATAAATTAAATCTAAAGATTAAAGAATCTGGACCGTTGAAATTTAATCAAACAATTATAATTATTACAATTTTTAGAGGGTCCCCTATTTATAATCGTTGGACCAAATTTCAAATGTCCGGATCCTTTGGTCATGAGGCTCAGTTTATTTGGGTTCAGAGGGGATCCGATTCCTTGTCCAATTTAGTTTCTCATCGTGATTCTTGGAAATATATCTTCTCCTGATATCTTCCACCAAAGCCCAATAATCAATTAATCTATGCCTTTAAAATTTGATCAAACAGCTACAAACAGGGGTCTCCTTTAAAAGTTATAATAATTTTAGCCGTTTAATTAAATTTTAAGGGCTGGATTAATTGATTGGTGGGCTTTGGTGGGAGAGATCCATAAATGATCTATTTCCTTGATTCTTGAACTAAATTTCGATTATTGCGTGACCTAAAGTATAATGGAGACAAAAATCGTAAGAAACATTGTTTTACGAGGAAATTGTTGCAATAATCCTTTAATTTTAATTGAATTTGAGCAGTGATCTCTTTACTAAAATCTGTAACTATTGGTCCTCTAACTCATCAAACGGTGTAGCTATGGTCATTTTTGTCAACTTCGTAAGAACTTCCGTCAAAATATATTTCTTCAAAGCACAAATATGGAAAACCAAAATGAGAAAATTGTAGGAATGTCCCCTTAACTTTAACCCAATTGTAGCAATAGTCCTTCCATCATGACTCATTTTGACGGAGTTGACAAAAAGAACCATAGCTGCACGTTTGAATGAGTTAAGAGACCAATAGTCAAATTTTTAAATGAGGGACCAACACTTCAATTGGGTTAAAATTGCAAGACTATTGCTACAATTTTCTCTTATGATTGTGAGTCAGTGTTTAAAATATCAATATATGTGGAAATATTGATGTGCAAATTTATGGATATGCCGATATCGAAATTAGTTGTCTTCAGTGGAAATTATGGAAATTTGCAATGGGGTGGATATATAAAATCACTCAAATTTAGTCGAAACTAGAGAAAAGTTTCTCAACAAAAATTAAAAAGTTCGAAATTTACAATGAGTTACAGTGAAATTTATGTAGTGAATCAATATATATTGTCGATATTCATTGGTGAAGTTTGCATTTAACCCCCTATTCATATCGATCTTTGATGTTTTGAATATTTCGACGAAAATATCGACAATTTTGTATACATTTTAAACACTGTTGAGATGCAAAATTTGTTGATGATGTTTATGAGGTGGTTGGGCAGAGTAGTCGATGGTCGTCACTTATTGCGGAAGCTCTCAGTTGATAGGACTGTTTTTCTCTTATTGCTAAAAACATTTGTTTAATTATTTTAATTTTACAAATTAAGAGAAAAATAACATGTTTCCTTCTAGGGATGGTGCAGCTTAATTTTTATAAAAAGCACAAGTTGTTTTGACAAAACAATAAGTTGAGCAAATTATGGCAGCTTGAGTTTTGAGAACACACGTTTGATAATTTTAAAAGAAAACTTTCCCTTAAAGGATATGCATTTAGAAAAAGTTGACTTTAAATTTTCTCATGGTGTCCCTTGACTCAAACCCTAACCAAAGATCGTGCACTTACTTGCAATCCAAACATAAATTAATTAGGGATTGATAGGGCTCCATTCATTCTCCTAATCCTATGCCCTTTTTCTTGGTCATTTCCCAAATCTCAAATTAGTACAACAAACAACCTATGATGTGTTTAGCGGTCCCAAAATGGGTTTTATTAGATATTTTACAACTAGAAGCCCTCTTTTTTCCGATTCAGTTCCTCCACTATCGCGAACCCCAGTTAGATTCAAGCATGATACACTTTTTAGTTATTGGGAGAACCCAAGTACTCTCTTTTGGATCTAGAAAACAGCTCTCACAAGTTGCAAATTTAAAAACGTCTTTGTTCGAATATGCGGTGATACAAAGCACATGAATTTACTCGATGTATAAATGTTCAACTTAAGCCTTGTCTAGAAAAATGTTCCTTATTACACAAGTTTTGGTCACTACAATACTTGAAATACATGTAAATTATTCATCACAAACATCCACCCTCGCCACCAATGTTACCAAGTTGTCGGTTTTGTCATCATGACCTATACTATTTATATTTATTTTTCTTGTCTTAAAAAATGGCATAAAAGCGTCTTGTCTAGTTTGGAGCTATGAAGCTTACCTTATTATAAAAGGTAGTTTACTTGCTTATTTGTTAGAGAAATGTAGCATGCTTACTAAGTGTATGCACTAAGAGGAAAGAGCTTTATCGGTTGGTGCATGCTACTTTTCCTCTTAGTGCAAACACTTAGTAATAATATATGACTTAGTAATACGTAATTTAATACTTGAAAACTAAAAATTATATTGATCATGGGGAGAGTAGATGATAATCTCATTTTCATTTCTCCTCTCCTTTCATGTACCAACATGATCCTCTTCAGGTCATTTTGGTGAGGATCTTGAGAATCCGTGAATTGTGTTCGTTCATCGTACATTGTGCGTTCAATTTTTGTCAAGTACTGTTTATGTTTATTTTTAAATAAAAATATTTAAAATAATTTTTGACCGCACGATGTACGATGAACGAACACGATTCACGGATCCCTATGATCCTCACAAAGAGGATCTGACGAGGATTCAGACTCTTTCATGTATTCTTCAATTCATAATTTTTCCATTATAAAAAAATAAACATACTCAATTTTTTTACAATACACATGGCAACATCTGTGTGCCATAAATAGGAGAAAATTTTCAATATGCCAAAGAACACGAGCTGGTACACAAAGTGTCATAATACAATTGGTTCGAATTATTTTTTATTTTTTTTTAGTTTTCAAACAATTATATTATCACACTTGATAAACTAAGCAATGTTTCCGACACACTAAAAAATATCTTAGTGAAACAAATATTTTAAAATACCTTGGTAGGTTCCCTCAAAGAAAACAAAGCACATTATTCCTAGGTCGCTTTAGTAATTGTCTTGTCTCATCCATTTCTTTAATGTCACTTGCCAAAAATAAAGATTGAAAACATAGGAAAACTAATTAAAATAGCTTGAAAACTTTGAGTATTAAAGATAAAGACAAAATAAAACATAAAATAAATAGTATCAGAATTGACATTTTAATGTAAAAATTTGATTTTTCGTTAAATTAAACATTACCAGAAGCTTTTCTTTAAAGTTCCTAAAAAACAATCGTCATCTCTTTTGTCTATCTCAACTCTCCACTTCTCAAGTGGTGCCATGGGAACATGGGGAGTATTTGATTTGAATTTGATTGATGTCAACAAATAAAAAATTTGAACAATCTAATGATTATAATCTAAAATATTATGCAACTTGCAAAGCAAGTGTGTAATGCGTGTGGCCCCGTGAGGGAGTGGGTCTCTCAAGGTTCAAACTTTCGAATTTGGATCATTTCCGAATCTCACAGTCTGGAATCTAAATATTAGAAAATTAGGACAATTCAAGGAAAAAAAAAGAAAAAATTTTAGCATTAGATTTGTGTGAAGTGAGCAAGCGAAATGAATTAATAGAAATTCAATTTAAACGGTTCGAATTATCTATTACTTCAATATTGAACAATAAAATCAGGAGAGAATCGCTGTCCCAAACTTTCAAGTGATGGAAGTTTTCTCAACTTGTTCTCCACATGGACGTGGAAAGTTGGGTTGGCACGCACGTAAGCTTGTATGTGGGTGGGGTAAGATTTTGTCGCCTAGTGCATCATCGTACGGCCACAGTAGCCTGAGCCTGATGCACGAGTTCACACGTTTTCATGTAGGAACACACGTACTTCTTGCCTGGAGGAGGGATGTTCTCCTTTTATGTACTAGAAAGCATAGGGAAAAGAATTCTCGTCGGATCATTTTGTAGGGATTCAACAATTGTGTTCGTTTATTGTATATCATCTCGTTAGGTACTATTTATATTTTAAATTTAAATTTTAAATAATTTCTAATAGTATGATGTACGATGAACGAATATAATTATGAGATCCCTAAGAAAAGGATCCGGTGAGAATCCTTTTCCGAAGCATAGCACATGGGACTTTAAAGGAAAATACTCCATTCTCCATAAACACACACCAACCGACCATGGGCTTTCACACACTCTTTATTTCATATTGTCCGTTAATTTTGCTTAATTTATTAATTTTAATGCCAAAAAATAAAAGTTGCGTGTTAAGTTTCTAATTACGATTTAAAAAGAAAAGTGAATACAAGGCGAAATTGAAAAAAAAAATAGTTATCAAATAGACATAAGATATTAAATTGTCATTATGGAGGTGCAAAGTTTAATTGTTGATATTCTCATATGTATAAATATAACAAGGATACAATTATCATCTATTTGACAATCTCTCTAATAGAGGTAGGATTTACTGACACATGTGAATCCTGTTTTAATTATAAAGACTAGCATTTGTCTACACACTTTGTGTGTATAAACATGTTTTTTTAGAAAATGAGAAGGATAGAGGGAGAGAGAGAGAGAGAGAGAGAACATGAGTGAGCGGGAGGTTTTTGTTTTTAGGTTTTTTTTTTTTAATATTGGAGGTATTTTAATATCACATGTAGGTGAGGTTTCACTAAAAAACAGTAAATTTTGAACATGTGAAATTACATTATTGCCCATCATTTTTTGTGTGTGATAGAAGACTAATTTATCTTTTCACCATCTTTTAATTGACAAAGAATGTTTCATTAATTAGTAGAGATAATACAGATGATGATATAAATAGATGATAAGAATATCATTTTTTTATGAACACAAAAAAGTTTAAAAATAAGCAACGCCCTTTACAAGTACGAGGATCTTATAAAAAGAAGGAAAATTCATTTGGTTTTTCTTTGTGAGACATTTCTTGATTGACTGACAAAACAAATCACGGCCCATTGGGCCTTGAACAACTGAGTGTGACTGTAGCCTTGCAAGCCCGTTCACTTTATTTTTCAAAAATGTTAAACAATTAATTAATTAATTAAAAAAAATCTAAGGACGTCATTAACACAAATTAAAAGATGGTTATATAGCTAAAATGGTCTATGAGATTTGCATAACTCATTACTTTGGTCCCTAACATTTCAAATTGATAAAAGTGGTCTCTGAAATTGTCCATCATCCATCGTTTTGGTCATTCCGTTAAAAACTTAGTTAAGTGTTCATGCTTTGGCCGGAAGTTTTGACAATTTTCAAAGCTTTGTAACTCAATCGTTTATTAACCAAATTTGACTCATAATATATCAAAATAAAGATAGGAAAGTGTAAAATAAGATTATACCTATTTGGAAGCCCAATGGTTACCGGAGATAGCCAGAAAATAGCTTCAAAGTTGACTGGTCCGATGGAAAACTGGAAAACTCGCCGGAAACTGGGTAAACTTTAAACGTTCATAACTTCTTCAATACTCAACGAAATCAAGTGATTTAAAAACGAAAATCATACTTCTCAACAAGAAGAAGAGAATGGTACCTTTTTCAATGGATAAATCGCCGTGTTTTGGCTGGAAAGCAGCTCGAAAGTGATTGTATTGGTCTCAAGTTAGCCACTTTCGAGCCGTTTTCCGGAAAAACCACAGCGATTTAGCTGTCTACAAAGGTACCATTCTCTTTGTTGAGAAGTATGATTTTCGTTTTTGAATCACTTGATTTCGTTGAGTATTGAAGAAGTTATGAATGTTTGAAGTTTACCCAGTTTCAGGAGAGTTTTCCAGTTTTCCCTCGGACCAATCAACTTTGAGGCTATTTTCTGGCCATCTCCGACATTCATTAGGCTTCCAAATGGTATAATCTTATTCTACACTTTATTATCTTCATTTTGATATATTATGGGTCGAAGTTGGTTAAGAAACGATTGAGTTACGAAACTTTGAAAATTGTCCAAACTTCTAGCCAAAAGCTCCGGGACACTTAACGGAGTTTTTAACGGAATAATCAAAATGATGGATGATGGACAATCTCATATACCACTTTTATCGATTTGAAATGTTAGGGACTAAAGTGATGGGTTATGCAAATCTCAAAGACTATTTTGATTATTTAGCCTTAAAAATTAAATGTAAAAATCAAGCCCGTTATCCTCGTGTAACAGAGCTTTGCGGCGGGTGAGAGCGCCAAAAATGCAGAGAGCTTCTTCCATTCTCTGCTCTTCAAATCCACTTCCGGCTCTTCCCCCGACCTCTCACAGACTCGTCGCTCCGTTCCAAACTCGACCTACTCGTCCCGACTCAGTGCCCTCGCCCCTCCGGTTGCCCCTGACTCGTCTGCGCAATTACCGCCTTGCCCTCCCTCCTCTCCACAGCACTGGTAACCTGCTCTTCGCTTATCAATTGGAGTATTTTCTTTTGGGTTTTTTGTTTTGGAGTGTTTGATTGATGGGTTTTGTTTATCTCAGTATTTTGTTTACTGGGTCTAATTAATTTTGGGTTTTAGTGGCTCAGAAGCTAAAAAAATGAGTAAGTTTTTTAGTAAGTTTTCAGTAGAAATTCATATATTAAGGTGAAGCACCAGTAATTATGAGTTAAAAACTTGTTTAGTAACTTAATTATGATTAAAGTCTTTGCTTTCCTCTGTTATTAGCAACTATGTAATTGTAAAATCTGTTTATATGTATTGCATAATGTGATGAATCGATGGGATGTGTATGATAATTCCATTTGGTGGATTTGGTGTTTCGAACCAGATAGAAAAACCATCGTGGAATTCATCCGAATTGAATACATATGTGGGATGCCTTTGATGATTTTGATGTACTTTCTTATGTTCAATTGTATGCTAAATTTATATATTTTTGTGTTTTGTCACTTAAGTCTCTGAAGAGATTGTTGAGACTGCGACGGCGGAGTTAGGATTCACTCAAGTTGGGTACATATCGAATGTCCACGGGCTACAAGGGGAGATTCGTGTGAAACCCAGTACTGAATTTCCTGAATTGCGGTTTTCCAAGGTAACTATGTATTCGAGTGGATTTGGAATGTGATTGTTTGAGGGTTTTATTCGTCGAATATTATAATCTAATTGTGGATAAATTGATTTTATTTAATTAGCCTGGAAAAAGATGGTTGAGACAGCAAGTATCAGGCAGAGAAATAATTCAAGAAGTTGAGCTGGTGGAGGGAAGAGGACACCCTGGTCAGAAGAGTTGGATACTGAGATTGGGAGGAATTGAAACAGTGGATGAGGTGAGCTTATTGAGGGCTGGCTTTTGTTTTTGGTTGTGCATGCAATAATTCCCATGTTTCACTTTTTCAAATTTCATTTTGTGTTAGTTCTGTTTACGTGTAAAAGATATGGTGATAGACTACTTTGGGTCTGGTGTCATCTTTGTTCTATTTACACATAAAAGATATGGTGTATACTATCTCTGAGCATTACGTTTAAGCTTTCCTTGGTAAAGTCTATTGTAAGGGAGAACGTTGATTACGCTTTTGTGTTCACAATCATTAACTTTTAATGTCTCTATGTGAGGTTATATTTTTCAGGCCAGACAGCTAATTGGTTCAGCTTTACTTGTGAGGGAAGAAGATAGGCCGCAGTTGGAGGAAGGCGAAATTTATACCCGTGATCTTGTTGGGATGAAAGTTATTCTTAAGGTTCGTGTTGATAATGTCCTTTATTTTCAAAAGATATAGCTTTGTGCATGAAAATGTGTGTGTTCCTGACATCTACTAAATATAGATTGGTGTGATAATATCATTTTATACTAAATTCATTCTTTTGAAGAGACAATTTGTTTATCTAGTATTTTTCACAGATTTATGTTTCACTATAATTTTTTTCTGGAAAAATGTTTTGTCTGACTTTATCTCTAGCTTTTGTTCATCAGTTTTCTTTCTCTTACTTGGCGCAGAAATTTGTCCTTTCCTTTTCTCATCATGGATTCATGGTCGGAACTCAATGTAGGGTTTTTATTGCTGTAACTATGTTCCTTGTTTTCAGGAAACTGGTGAACCTGTGGGAAGTGTTGTTAATGTTTTCAACAGCGGAGCAAGTGATCTTTTACAGGTCATGCTCGATACATCTCTAGATATTGTTGATTCAACTGGAAAACCAAAGCCAGCAGGAACAAGATTATCTGGTCACCTTGTGTGGATACCATTTGTCGAAGAAATTGTTCCAAATGTCGATATGAACAGGAAAGAAATGCAGATTACACCTCCAAAGGGACTCTTGGAACTAAATTTACGCTTTGATGAGAGGTCCAAGAAGGAAAGGCGCCAACTTGTGAGGCACACTCTCTTTTTTACACATCATATCTGTTATTTCTTATTAACTGAGCCACCTTTTCCAAAATCACAAAATACAGAAATATGGTGTTTCTTGCATTATAGTCCATGTCATCAAGCTTTTTGTTCAATTCTCTTTGAAAGAATAACTAAGTCAAAGTCCCACCAGTTGGAACTTTGGTTACAGTTGATGTGTTGGAGGCTAATTGGATTATACTTTTGTAGATTGATAGTGTCATAATGTCCTATCATGGCCTGATAACAGACTTACAGTAGGAAATTCCTGGCTTGCTATGGTTTAAAATGTCGAAAGCTTTCCCATAACTGTAGGATTACATCAAGGCTCATCCTTAAGTCCTTACCCTTTTGCGTTGGTAATGGATGAGTTAACAGGACATATTCAAGATGATATTCCTTGGTGTATGCTTTTCGCAGACGATATAGTGTTGATAGATGAAACTCAGGAAGGGGTAAATGCAAAGCTTAACCTTTGGAGAGAAGTGTTGGAATCTAAAGGTCTTCGCCTAAGCCGATCAAAGACAGAATATATGGAGTGCAAGTTCAGTGCAAATGGAGGCCAAAACGAGTTAGGGGTGAGGATCGGAGATCAAGAAATACCAAAGAGCGACCGTTTTCGTTACCTAGGATCTATCTTGCAAAAGAACGGAGAATTAGATGGAGATCTCAACCACAGAATACAAGCTGGATGGATGAAGTGGAAGAGTGCATCCGGCGTGTTGTGTGACCGCCGTATGCCACTGAAGCTCAAGGGAAAATTTTATAGGACGGCAATAAGGCCGGCGATGCTGTATGGCACAGAATGTTGGGCGGTGAAACATCAACACGTACACAAAATGGGTGTAGCGGAGATGAGGATGCTTCGTTGGATGTGTGGGCACACGAGAAAGGATAAGATTAGGAATGAGGATATCCGGGGTAAAGTAGGAGTAGCCGAAATTGAAGGAAAGATGAGAGAAAATCGGTTACGGTGGTTTGGACATGTGCAAAGAAGGCCTACTGACGCTCCGATTAGAAGATGCGACTATGGGACAGAGGTTCAAAGCCGAAGGGGTAGAGGAAGAAGACCTAGGAAAACTTTGGAAGAGACTCTAAGAAAAGACTTAGAGTACTTGGATCTAACGAAGGACATGACTCAGGATCGAGCACAATGGCGTTCTAAGATTCATATAGCCGATCCCACTCAGTGACTTGGATTTTCCAAGTCTCCAACCGAGAAGTTTTCCTCACTCGGGAAATTAAGGGAACACTACCCCAACCTACATGCTCCACTCAGAAAGCTTCAACATACAAGCTTCAACAAAAGAAAATTCAAAGAACTTAGCGAAGAAGGCTTTGGTGTATTTAACACAATACGTTGAAATGAAGGAAAACTTATTTATTGATATCCCCGATAAGCTACAAATATGTACATATACATGAGTCAAAATAAACACACAAGAGGGAGCCTTCACAAAGGTTGCTTAGGAGAAGTCTCAGCAGTCGGTAGAGCCCCAGAAAGAGAAGGCACCGGAGGGGGATCATTTGGAGCCTCAGTACTGGACAGAACCCTAGAAAGAGGAGGCATCAGAGGTTGATCATTCGGAGCTTCATTATGCGGTACAGCCCCAGAAGACGAAGGCAATAAATGCCTTTGGAACAAACCCACAAATCTCTGATGATCAAGTAAAACCTGACCATCAGTTTCCTTCATCTGGTCAAGCTTCCTCTTCATGTTTGTAGCATAGTCATGTGCGAGCCGGTGCAACTGTTTATTCTCATGCTTGAGCCCTCTAATCTCCTGTTTGAGACTCATCACTTCAGCCGCCAATGATTCAACTTGGCGGGTTCGAGCAAATAGGCGTTGGGCCATATTAGACACAGAACCTGCACACTGAACACTGAGAGCCAGCGAATCCTTAACAGCTAACTCATCAGACCGTTTGGAAAGTAGTCTGTTATCTTTGGGGGTGAGAAGGTTCCTGGCCACCACCGCAGCGGTCATATCATCATTCTTCATCACGGAATCCCCAACGGTAAGAGGACCAGTAGGGGAGACGAAGGATGGGCGCCATATGTTGTCTGGAGAAGGCGGGGCTGCCTCTTCAACAAGGTTCAAGTCAAAACGACGGTCGGAGGGGCCAGACATTTTCAAAGGTGTTGAAGAGAGAAGAGGTCGGACAAATCAAGATCTTAGAAGTGCAAGAATGAAGCTTCTACTGGTGGAGATTCAAGTGTGCTTTGGAACTTAATGCCAGCCCCTATAAAAATCTGCACTCGACGGAGCTTCAGAAATCGAAGAGGCGCCTGCTCAGAAATCGAAGAGGCGCCTGCTCAGAAATCGAAGAGGCGTTTGCTTTCTCAAAAGCTGGGCTGCTTAGAGATCACGAGGGTTGATCTCAGAAATCGAAGAGGCGTTTGCTTTCTCAAAAGTTGGGCTGCTCTAAAGACCACGAAGGTCCGATCTCAGAAATCGAAGAGGCGCTCGCTTTCTCAAAAGCTGGGCTCCCCAGAGACCACGAGGGCCGATCTCAGAAATCGAAGAGGCACCTACTTTTCCAGCCTTGTCAGCACCTGTCACACGCACACTCAGCTTTGCGGAAATTATGGGCATTCTGTCGAAGACTTCTGGGGAAGTAGAAAACTCATGAATCTTACTGTTCAATCACCCACTTCCCACACGCAACAATAGCTCATGGGTACCACAGATAACTTTGCCAAAGTTCTCTGCCAAAGTTGAGCACGTGAAGCTTGCAGCTCCCACTACATCGCTCTGACCAAGAAGGGTAAAAGAATAGCAAAGAAACAGCACTAACAAAGTTTAGACCCATAAATTTTGAAGGTCTAGCTACCATATTATTACCCACAAGGGTAAAGGAACAGTACCACTGCTGGATAATTGGAAAGTCCCTGTGTGTCAACCTCTGTGCTTCGTGGCAAGGTAGACTAGCAAACATGCCCAACCTTTTACTCACATTCGAGAAAACACTCTCCAATAAGATTGCTTGCTCCAAAATCGAAGAGGCACCGTCCTCCGAATCTCGAGAGCCAGACTCCCAACATGACTACTTTCTTAAAAATCGAAGAGAGGGTAAAGGAACAGTACCATTGCTGGATAATTGGAAAGTCCCTGTGTGTCAACCTCTGTGCTTCGTGGCAAGGTAGACTAGCAAACATGCCCAACCTTTACTCACATTCGAGAAAACACTCCCAACAAGATTGCTTGCTCCAAAATCGAAGAGGCACCGCCCTCCGAATCTCGAGAGCCAGACTCCCAACATGATTACTTTCTCAAAAATCGAAGAGACACTGCTCCCCGAATCTTCGAGAGCCAGAGCCCCAGCATGATTGCTTTCTCAAAAATCGATGAGGCATCGTTCTCCAAATCAATCGAAGAGGCGCTCGCTTTCTCAAAAGCTGGGCTGCTCAGAGACCACGAGGGCCGATCTCAGAAATCGAAGAGGCACCTACTTTTCTAGCCTTGTCAGCACCTGTCACACGCACACTCAGCTTTGCAGAAATTATGGGCATTCTGTCGAAGACTTCTGGTGAAGTAGAAAGCACATGAATCTTACTGTTCAATCACCCACTTCCCACACGCAACAATAGCTCATGGGTACCACAGATAACTTTGCCAAAGTTCTCTGCCAAAGTTGAGCACGTGAAGCTTGCAGCTCCCACTACACATCGCTCTGACCAAGAAAGGTAAAAGAATAGCAAAGAAACAGCACTAACAAAGTTTAGACACATAAATTTTGAAGGTCTAGCTACCATATTATTACCCACAAGGGTAAAGGAACAGTACCACTGCTGGATAATTGGAAAGTTCCCTGTGTGTCAACCTCTGTGCTTCGTGGCAAGGTAGACTAGCAAACATGCCCAACCTTTACTCACATTCGAGAAAACACTCCCAACAAGATTGCTTGCTCCAAAATCGAAGAGGCACCGTCCTCCGAATCTCGAGAGCCAGACTCCCAACATGACTACTTTCTCAAAAGCGAAGAGAGGGTAAAGGAACAGTACCATTGCTGGATAATTGGAAAGTTCCCTGTGTGTCAACCTTTGTGCTTCGTGGCAAGGTAGACTAGCAAACATGCCCAACCTTTACTCACATTCGAGACAACACTCCCAACAAGATTGCTTGCTCCAAAATCGAAGAGGCACCGCCCTCCGAATCTCGAGAGCCAGACTCCCAACATGATTACTTCCTCAAAAATCGAAGAGACACTGCTCTCCGAATCTCGAGAGCCAGACCCCCAGCATGATTGCTTTCTCAAAAAATCGAAGAGGCATCGCTTCTCCGAATCTCGAGAGCCAGATACCACAGACCACTTTTTCAAAGTGCTCTGACAGAGTTAAAACATGTGAAACTGGCAGCTCCCACTACCGTGCTATGACCAAGCAGGGTAAATGGAATAGCATTACTACTTGTTAGGGAGACTCCTATATATGTCGACCTCCATCCCCAACGGACAGGCAGACCTGCAAAAATGCTCAACCCTTCATCATATCTGAGAGGGCACTCCCAACGAAGCCTTTCGAAATATTCAGCTTTCTTTTCCCCCGATAATACCTCTGCAAACAAGCTATACTAGAGCAAGAATATCTCATATCATCAGGGTTAAAAGCAAGAGTATCCCATATCATGCTTTTTCCCTGTCTTTTCCTTTGGCCTTGTTTTTACCTGCAAGACAAGGAGAAAGAGAGCAATCAGTCAGCACTTGGAATCAAGCTTCCAGCCAGGAACTAACTGCCTGGAACCCCTTACCTGATTACTTACCTGGCATTGCTCTCGAGTACTCATCTTCAACATCTTATGTTTCCAGGGAAGATTCCGCATCTGCTTGAGGAACAGATAGGGCAAGTGCGAAGGATACAAGGAAGCATGTGGAGACAAGCGTAACAGCACACGTGCCGATACATCCATTACTCTGTCAAAAGCAAAAGTATCCCATATCAGCAGGGTGGAACGTAGTCTAGATTTGATGGACTTGTTTTGACCCTCAAATTCTTCAGTCGGCCTTATACTCTGGAGGAAACCAGAAAACCCTCCAGCTCAGTTCAAGAATAAGCCTGTGGAAAGTTACTTCTTCAAAAGCAAAAGTATCTCATATCATCTCTTCTCATTTTTCTTCTCTTTATCCTTCATGCTGCTGCAAGATGGGGAGAAGGTGAACAATCGGTCGGAGCTCTGATTGCTTACCTTGTCTGTCACCTCTTTCAGCAGACCCCCTAGCTCGGCGCCTTGGGGGACTCCTACTACATGGTTTGTATCGCGCTTGACCAAGCTTGAAACTACAAGTAAGCTTAAAGTGAAATTGATACATTACCTTGTGCATCTCCACCAGTTAAAGATACCACCCCTGGATGGAGGAAGAGTACTTCCAGAGAAGATGCCACATCTACCTATGAGACAGATAAGGCAAGTCAAGACGACACCACACTCCGATACTTAGAAGTTTCGTGATTACGAGATCATTCTCCCACAATATTTCCTAATGCCATTTGTACTAAATCATTCACTTGTACTCACTAAAGGAGAGCTTGAACCTATGTACTTGTGTAAACCCTTCACAATTAATGAGAACTCTTCTATTCCGTGGACGTAGCCAATCTGGGTGAACCACGTATATCTTGTGTTTGCTTTCCTATCTCTATCCATTTATATACTTATCCACACTAATGACCGGAGCAATCTAGCGAAGATCACAAAAAGCGACCGTTTTCGCTACCTAGGATCTATCTTGCAAGAAAACGGAGAATGAGATGGAGATCTCAACCATAGAATACGAGCTGGATGGATGAAGTGTAAGAGTGCATCCGGCGTGTTGTGTGACCGTCGTAGGCCACTGAAGCTCAAGGGAAAATTTTATAGGACGGCAATAAGGCCAGCGATGTTGTATGGCACAGAATGTTGGGCGGTGAAGCATCAACACGTACATAAAATGGGTGTAGCGGAGATGAGGATGCTTTGTGGGATGTGTGGGCACACGAGAAAGGATAAGATTGGGAATGAGGATATCCGAGGTAAAGTAGGAGTAGCCGAAATTGTAGGAAAGATGAGAGAAAATCGGCTCCGGTGATTTGGACATGTGCAAAGAAGGCCGACTGACGCTCCGGTTCGAAGATGTGACTACGGGACAGAGGTTCAGGGCCCAAGGGGTAGAGGAAGACCTAGGAAAACTTTGGAAGAGACTCTAAGAAAAGACTTAGAGTACTTGGATCTAACGGAGGACATGACACAAAACCGAGCGCAATGGCGTTCTAGGATTCATATAGCCGACCCCACTTAGTGGGAAAAGGCTTTGTTGTTGTTGTTGTTGTTGCTATGGTTTAAAATGTGGATTACCGATAACATGATCTCATGGAAATCCTAAACCCCATATCATCCATGGGATTTTGTACTTAGATATGTGAATTTATGAGTTTCATGGGATTAAATGATTATATTTCTTGTTACTGCAAGCTATGAGGAGATTAGGCAAGTGAACAAAATGCAAAAGAACATTCACCTTGTTGTTGTCTGCACAAAAACCTTTGAAAAGCTTACTAGTGTAGGTTATTGTAGTGAATTTAGATGTAGATTAATATCCCATCGCTTTCTTTAAGTTTAAATTATCATGCTATTGTACTCGACGGCTTTTGTGCCTTTAGTTAAAATCTTATCATATGATTTAGGAATGGAAAGAGAGAAAAAAGTTGCAGAAGCGCCTCATAGCAGCAAAAAAGAAACTGTGTGATATGGAGCAAAAACATGTGTTCGATGGGTTAAGATTTGGAGAGAAAGCACAAAGAAGCTTACTTGCTGATCAGATTGTTGCTGTAAATTCGAAATTGCTTCAACAGGCTCTAGAAAATGTTCAGATACCATCCAAAAGGTAATATGATTTGTTCACATGTTGGTTTTTTGTTCCTCTGCTTCAAGCATTTTGACATAAAATGGAATGGATTTCAGTCTCAATCATTAAAATCTAATATGAAAAAAAAGTTATGTTGTTTATGAAACTGTGTGCACTGACTGAATAAGATGTCTGCTCTACTGCCAGATGTACTTGTCATTGATTGTTGAACTTTTGTCTGACTTCTTGGTTCAGATGGAATGTAACTGAGATGATCAATGCCCTTAAAGCCAGAGAAACAACTAGCACTCTGGAAATTTCAGAGAAATGTCTCGTGTCTTCTGCAAGCAAAGATAAGCTGGGTACACATCTTCATTTGCAAGAGAAAGGACTAGATCTCATATCGAAAGGAAAAGTTGCCATTGCTTTGGTTGTAAATGACAATGGAGATCAGCAAGGACCACAACTGGCCTCTAACCCTGATCTTGAAAATTCTGATGGCACTGAGACAATAATGTCGTCCTCTCTTCAGACATTACTTTGTGACGATCAAAGATTTGTAAAGGTGATGCTGATTCTTTTCTTTTATTCCCTTGAGAGGGTTTTTCTGATCATCTTTATGCATAATCTATACTTTTCCATTTGTTCCCGTAAGTTGTAAAGCTTGGAACAAATTTGTGAGCACTTGAGTTCTGGATGGAGTTCTTCTGTTATGTGCATATTAAGAATTTGTTGTTTCAGTTTCCACTTCATTTTAAAGTTTAAACTATATTCTTAATGTAGTCAAATTTTCTCAAGTAGATTTGAGTGGGGAAAAACAATGTCAAACATTTGTCATTTATAAACGTTTCTTTTAGTTGTGAAGATACACTATGGAGTGTGTGCATATTTGAATTTTCAGTTGTCTCGAATGTATTCAATCTCCCATTTCATTATAGAAATGTCACTTGGTACTTAATTGTTCTCCAATAAGATGCATGTTTCAGTACAATTGATGCTTTATGAAAATAATTATAAAAATGGGGAGAATTGTCTCTTCCCCCTTTTTCTTTCCGCGGTGGCAGGGGACTGCCTTGTTTGGATAATGTTTTCACAGTATGGTCTACTGGGATATGTGTTATTGCAGATGGAAGATCGTGTGTCAGTACCTTTGGTTCTGGTTTGCTCGGCCCAGACAGTTCAATCTTTAAGGATGCATTTCTCAGAAAATGATTACTTTGGCTTCGTCCCTGAAAAGGTTTGTAGTTACAGCATCAAGTGAAGAATCTCTTGATAATTTTGACATAGCATATGGCATGGCATGGTACTATAGAAGCACTAAACACATTAATAGTCACACCTTATAATGGTTACAACATGGCACTCCATTGAAACGGTAATTCACACTGCAGAGGATCAATGGTCGTATAAATTGAACATAAAAATTTCCTTGAATAATCAACTCTTCAATTTATATTAACTTTATTTGTACTGATAATACATAATATGATGCTCTAGTTGAAAAGTTTGTCCATTCCAATTGGACCAACATTTTCAATTTAAAATGCATAACCTAATTGTGATGTTCATGTCTCTAATGATATGAGCCTCAGACCCCTGTCTGTGCGTACGTATGTAAGCTAGAAATAAACTAACCATCCTATTTAGAATACTTTGTTGTACACATACGTCTTACTTCTTTTTCATATAGGAGGGTTTCTTTGTCTTAAAAAGAAATCACGAGTAATTGGAGTTTGTTTTGTTTTGTTTTTTTTTTTTTTTTTTTTGTATATGCTTCCTTGTGCTCCCTTTGAACCTTTCACAGGTCTGGTTCTTAGAGGAAGAGAAACTTCCAGTTGTCAGCAATTCAGTGGAAGAAGAAAAGAAGCATAAGATTTTGATGAAATCCCCTTGGGAAATACTTCAATTGCCGGTTGGATCTGGCGGAGTTTTCAGTTTGCTTTCATCAAACAATATTCCAGAGAATCTCAGTGAAATGGGTGTGGAGTATATTGAGGTTAGATAAATTCATTATAGTCCATTTCGTAGTTTGGGTATTCTCAGAGCGCACTTAAGAATAAGATAGAAAAATCTTTAAGAACTCACATGTATGATTTTATTTGTTTTAGTTCAGACATGTTCCATACGATAAACATGTAAAGTTTTCCAACGGGTCTTTCCTTGATGGACTGATGCTTCATTTTCTTTTTAGTCTTATGAAAGCACTTTTTAACGGTGCCATGTCCCTTGCATTAGCTTTCCCCAATGCTAATGCATTTGTCAACCAGCTCAGCATATGCCAATCTGTCTAGCAGATTACAGTGTTAGTGTTTCACATGCTGCAGTCATAAGTACCTATGCCATGCATAGGCTTTGTATGAATACTGCGCCTACTAGCATCGTTGATCATTTCATCCCTTGAGCACATTTTCTCCTCCTTGATTCATTGCTTCTGCTCCCTCTTTCAGGTTTGCAGCACCAATCCTGGACACGTAGGTGCGAACTCGCTACTTCTTGGTTTTGTTAATTCGTGGAAATCTGACTTCGGGATCCAAATTTTCAAAGGCAGAAAGGAGGACTACGAGAAAAGTTTTGACTTTATATTCTCAACAAACTTGATGACGATGTTGACGAAACAAATTGATAAACTCCAGTTCTATGCTACTCCGAAGCAGAATTCGCATGTTGAGATGGCGGGAAAAGAATGGGTGGACGTTACCCCCAGCTCTCCCAACTCTTATGAGTTCGGTTGTTCAATTTACAGCGCTTTAAAGGCCTGTCCTTCCAACAAGATTTGTATAATGGAGGTTACAGAGTAAACCTTGTAATTTTGGGTACCCAAAAGATATGAACAGATGTGTATACCAGTCTTTTCAGTATATATGGATAAATATATGTTATTTTTGGACTACTGTACCAAAAAAATAGTCATTCATAAAACCCTAGCAACCCCAATGGCACATACACAGCGGCTAGCTTGCTTTGCAAGTTACCAAAAAATCCTAGGGAAGCTCTCTGTGAAACCCTAAGAGAGAGAAGGTGTGTTTAGGTTAATGGTGGGAAGTTTACAGGTCGAGTTTCGATAGAATTTCATCTATTTTGCCACCAAATACTAACATGAATTTACCCTCAACAGTGAATCACGTATTGATCTTGTGCCAGTTTTTGATAGCAAAGTGGATGAAGTTTCATCAAATTTGACGGTGAGGTGAGATTTTAAATGGCTGATTTCAAATAGCTAAGAAGTCAATTTACTAAAAAAATAATTTAAGGGGTCAATTTCAATTAGCTATTACTCAAACAAGCATGAAACGTTTGCTTGCGTAAATAATAATTGATAGGATGGGTAATGTTTGGGCCCTACAGAGCAATAGGCTAGACCCAGTTTTAAAGCCCAGATCTCTTAACCGGGGTTACGTTAAACCCATTAGCCAAACAGACCAAATTTTAGTCCACCCCCGAAATCACAAAACCCTAGCAAGTAGCAACCCCAACCTCTCCCACTCTTCACTTATAAAACCAACGGCCCCAGCTACAATCCGCAGCTCGGCGGCTCAGCAAAAACCATATACACTGTAAGCCTCACTCTCTTCCGCCCAGATCTCTTAACCGGGGGTTACGTTTGCTTTTGCTCCTCCACCCTCTTCGGTCTTCCCTTTCACACTGTCCAGCTCTAAGATCTGCCCTCAGATGGTGAGGTCAGTGTGGTACAGTTGAGCAGGTCCTCAACTGTCCTGACTGTCTTCATTTTCTGAGGACGGATAGCTATTTTACTGTCCAGCTCTAAGATCTGCCCTCAGATGGTGAGGTCAGTGTGGTACAGTTGAGCATGTCCTCAACTGTCCTGACTGTCTTCATTTTCTGAGGACGGATAGCTATTTCGCCGCGTCTTACTTGCATCTTTGCAATGTGGTGAATTACTGATCGACTATCTGATCTTTTTTAGCAATAAAAATTTGGGTTTTTACCATTTGATTGGTTAATTTGTGGGCCATTTGATTGGTTAATTTGTGGGCAATCTACGGAATTTGCTTCAGTCTTGTTCACAAGTTTACTGGTTTGTTCGAAAAGGTTTTAATTTCAAGCGATATGCAACAAGAAGTGATGATTTGCACCCATCTATTCTGCAATTTGAATGATGAATACTTACATGCACTACCATCTGATCCTCGTTGCATTTCCATTTTCATTTACCACTTTTAGTAATTTGTTTTGTTTTCTTAAGATTATTAACTTTTTTTTTTCTGTTTGGAAGTATTCCAAAAAATATTATAAAATAACAAAATAACAAATAAAAAACCAAAAAACCAAAAAGCAACATAGAAATTTAGAGCAGACATTCTCAGCTAGAGGGGAAGGTTGGAGATTATAATCACATGAAGTCAGGAAGTGGTCAACAAAATGATAAGAAAACAAAACACATGCAGGCCTTTCGGTTGCAGCGGCAAGACTGAGTCCAATTTCGTACAGTGATTACATGCTACGAACAACTATATATTGAAACACCATGACACATCATGAAAATAATAAAGAAGATTATACAAATTTGGAAGAGAAAAGCAATACATTGAGAAATGGAGGAAGATTTGTTCTTCTTCTGTTTGAGACTGGTCCTCTTCTATCTATAAATGTGAAAATAAATCTGAGGGGGTTAGAGTGAGATTCTTGATGCACCTTGAAATCCATCAAAATTCCTCTATCATTAAAATCCTAACAAATCTTTAGTATTTTGACTACCCCTAGACTTGTACTGATTTTTTTTTTAAAATCATATTTAACTACCCATGGATTTTGTTGTATTCTTTAAAATCATAACAAATCTTAATTTGACTACCCTATGATTTCAAAATCCTTTAAAATCATCTTATAAAATTCTGATTGACTACATTTAGATTTTGGGGTGTAGTCAAACTAGGATTTTAAAGGATTTTAAAAGTGATAGATTTGATAAGATTTAAGAGGATTAAAGACTCTTACAAAATTCATATGGATTTTAAAGAATTTGAATGGATTGTGGTGGATTGTGGGGGGAAGGATTTGAAATCTTAGGGGATGAGGTTGGATTCTTTTTAGTTTTGGTTATACATACTTTTTGCTTTTAAATCCCACAAAATCCACAACTTATTGAAAATTTTCAAAATCTTAATTTTTTAATACACTTATATTTGGATGGATTCTAAAATCCTTTAAAATATTTTAATTGACTACACCTAGATTTTAATGGATTTGAAAATCTTTTAATTGACTACACCTAGATTAGATTTGAATGGATTCTAAAATTCTTTAAAATCTTTTAATTGACTACACTAGGATTTTAAAGTCTTTTAAAATCATCTCAAATCCAAGTTTGACTACACCCCTAAGATTTGAAAGGATTTTAAAAGTGATAGATTTGATAGGATTTAAGAGGATTAAAGACTCCTACAAAATTCATATGGATTTTAAAGAATTTGAAATCCTAGGGGGTGAGATTTAATTTTTTTTAGTTTTGGTTATATATACTTTTTGCTTTCAAATCCGACAAAATCCATAACTTATTGAAATCCTCCGAAATCTTAATTTTTTGAATACACTTAGATTTGGATAGATTCTAAAATCTTTTAATTGACTACACCTAGATTTGAATGGATTCTAAAATCCTTTAAAATCTTTTAATTGACTACACTAAGATTTTAAAGTCTTTTAAAATCCTCTCAAATCCAAATTTAACTACACCCCGCTAAAGTATATTAAAATCCTACCAAATCCTAATTTGACTACACAACCTAAGTCTGCCCGTGACGCAAATATTTAACGTTAATGACATCCTATGATTATTAAGTTAAAAATCCCCATCTTTCGACTGAGATTGCAGTTTGAACAGTTAGTTCATACATTGTGATTGCTCCGTTTGTCGGTTTGTGTGTAATATGGGGGGTCGTGTGTGTGAACATGCATTGGTGTGGTATCGTTTTAGGAGTCGTTTGCCTATGGTTTCTGATGTCCAGTTTTATTATCTGTGGCTGGACATTTCATTTAACAGGACGTACATTAAAGTTTACAGGTCTTTGCGACACATTTAGCTTTGATTCTCAACAGCTTTCTGTTACTTGAGCCCTGCAAGCATTCACTTTTTCATTTCCTTCTTGTAAATTGCTCCGAATGATCATTTTCATAAATTTTTGGTTTGACAGCCCAGCTGGAGAAGACCAAAGGGTATTGATTCTCGTGTTAGGAGAAAGTTCAAGGGACGTGTTCTCATGCCCAATATTGGTTATGGGTCAGACAAGAAGACTCGCCATTATCTTCCCAATCATTTCAAGAAGTTCGTTGTGAGCAACGTCAAAGAGCTTGAACTGCTGATGATGCACAACAGGTAAACCAAGGACCTTTGTTTTGCCTCTGTGAATTCCGATTTAGTTTTCGCACTACATTTCTAACTTGCATTGTCTTTCTCAATTAGGACAATGTTTCCACAAGGAAGAGGAAAGAAATTGTTGAGAGAGCTTAAGCTAGAAATGAAACTAATCATCCTATTTAGAATACTGTGCTGTACATACGTCTTACTTCTTCATATTGGAGGGTTTCTTTGTCTTAAAAAGAATCTCGAGTAACTGGAGTTTGATTTTGTAATTTTGTATATGCTTCCTTATGCTTAGGGGTGAGCAATGATTATGCGGGCGAGTAACCGCGATTAATTTACTCATAACCGTTTATACTCATTCCCGCATAACCGTTTATCCGTTGGGTAATTGCCTAAACGGTTATACCCATACCCATAACCGTTTATAAATGGTTAACCATACTCATAGCCGCATACCCATTTAACCGTAATCGTTTAATACCCGTTTACCCATTTATCATTTTTAACCCGTTTATCTTCTTTGTTTTTACCATTACCCTTTTTTCACCCGTCTACATGTTTTTTAACAACTTAAAAATTAAAAAAAATTGTCATAATTTTTTTTTTACAATTAAACACCGTTATAGGTACATTCATCATACATTTCCATATTTTAATTTTTTAAGTCCTTATACTATTCCAATAATTGAAATAATAGTTTACGGACGATATTTTTAATTATTACCAATGAAGGTAAATATAATATTTTCTAAGTATTATTGGGTTACAAAAATTGTTTAGAAGACATTTCTGTCAATTTCACGGTTACCCGCAATAAATTTAAATTAATTTGGCTAATTCCTTGATGATGAGAATCATCATTCATGTAGTAGTGTTATTGAGAGAATGACCGATGAATTCCTTGTTAATTTATTGGATGCTAAGTATTATTGGATCAAGAACATATATAAAATGGGTAAACGGTTACCCGTTTATAACCGTGGTTAATACCCATAATCGTCCATTTAAATTTCGCGGGTAAACGGTTATAGCCATAACCGTTTATTTATCTAAACGGTTATCCATAACCGTAACCGTTTAATTTAAATAGACAGGTAACCGCGGTTACCCATAACCAATAGGTATTTGCTCATCCCTTATGCTCCCTTTGAACCCTTTACAGGTCTGGTTCTTAGAGGAAGAGAAACTTCCAGTTGTCAGCAATTTCAGTGGAAGAAGAGAAGAAGCATAAGATTTTGATGAAATCACCTTGGGAAATACTTCAATTGCCTGTTGGATCTGGCGGAGTTTTCAGTTTGCTTTCATCAAACAATGTTCCAGAGAATCTCAGTGAAATGGGCGTGGAGTATATTGAGGTTAGCGAAATTCGTTATAGTTCATTACGTAGTTTTAAAAAAATGTTTAAGAACCAACATATATGATTTTATTTGCTCCAGTTCAGACATGTATGATATACGATGAACATGTAAAGCACCTAATTTACGTATAACCTATGCTGGAGTTGACAGTATCTGAAGTACTCTATATTCATATCTGTGAAGTTTTCCAACGGGTCTTTCCTTGGTGGACTGATGCTTCATTTTCTTTTTTGTCATCTGAAAGCATTTTTTAACGGTGCCATGGCCTTTGCATTAGCTTTCCCCAATGCTAATGCATTTGTCAACCGGCTCAGCATATGCCAAACTGTCTAGCAGATTACAGTATTAGTGTTTCACATGCTGCAGTCATAAGAGTTGAATATCAGAGTACGGAACGAACAAGGTTAACAAAATAATAATATTATTAAATAAATAAGAATGCTCAAACGGCTACAAAACCCTAAGAGGCTACATTGTGACTAACTTTTTCTCAAATGAATAACAAGCATGTTATTTATAATAAACTAACCCTAATCCTAAAAGTTAAGAAATCAAAATCCTAATGCTAACGGGTTAAGCCCAGAAAACCAAATATTCAAATAAACTAAAATCTTAATATTTTTCAACAATTTCCAACAATAAGTACCTATGCCACGCATAGGCTTCGTATTAATACTGTGCCTGCTTGCATCGTTGATCATTTCATCCCGTGAGCACATTTTCTCCTACTTGATTCATTGCTTCTGCTCCCTCTTTCAGGTTTGCAGCACCAATCCTGGACACTTAGGTGCGAACTCACTACTTCTTGGTTTTGGTAACTTGTGGAAATCTGACGTCGGGATCCAAATCTTCAAAGGCAGAAAGGACTACGAGGAAAGTTTTGACTTTATATTCTCAACAAACTTGATGACGAAGTTGACGAAACAAATTGATAAACTCCAGTTCTATGCAACTCCGAAGCAAAATTCGCATGTTGAGATGGCGGGAAAAGAATGGGTGGACGTGACCCCCAGCTCTCCTAACTCTTATGAGTTCGGTTGTTCGATTTACAGCGCTTTAAAGGCCTGTCCTTCCAACAAGCTTTGTATAATGGAGGTTACAGAGTAAACCCACAACAAAGTGACTCTAAATTTTGTAATTTTGTGTACCCAAAATATATGAAAACAGATGTGTATACGAGTCATTTGCTGTATACATGGATAAATATATGTTATTGTTGGACATTGGACAACAACAACAAAGCGTTTTGCCACTAAGTTGGGTCGGCTATATGAATCCTAGAATGTCATTGCGCTCTTTAGTGCAATTTCGTTCATAATTCATTATCATAAGGATTCGACGTAAGATAGAAGTGTCGGCTGTCGATTACCTGATGCCCTCCCCTCCTCTTTTATCCGGACTTGGAACCAGCAATATAAGAGAAACTTACACATGCATAGTTTTATTTTTGGACAACTGTATTAAGAAAATATTCATAAAACCCTAGCAACCCCAATGGCACATACACAGCGGCTAGCTTCCACTGCAAGTTACCAAAAAACCCTAGGGAGCTCTCTGCGAAACCCTAAGAGAGAGAAGGTGTGTTTAGGTTAATGGTGGGAAGTTTGCAGGTCGAGTTCAACGTCCTTTAGCTACTGGGTTCTTGGATGACTTAACTTTCTAGGGGTAAACTACCTTAGTTGAAATTGACTCTCCCAACTATTTTTTTGGTAAATTAACCTCTTAAACTATTTGAAATCAACCATTTAACCCCTCACCATCAGTTTCGATAGAATTTCATCTATTTTGCCACCAAATACTAACACGAATTTACCCTCAAGAGGGAATCACATGATGGTCCCGTACCAGTTTTTGACAACAAAGTGGATGAAGTTTCATCAAATCTGACGGTGAGGTGAGAGTTTAAATGGCTGATTTCAAATAGTTAAGAAGTTAATTTACTAAAAAAAATAGTTAAGAGGGTCAATTTCAGTTAGCTATTACTCAAACAAGCATGAAACATTTGCTTGAGTAAATAATAATTTATAGGATGGGTAATGTTTGGGCCCTACAGAGCAATAAGCTAGATCCAGTTTTAAAGCCCAGATCTCTTAACCGGGGTTACGTTAAACCCATTAGCCAAACAGACCAAATTTTAGTCCACCCCCGAAATCACAAAACCCTAGCAATCCCAATCTCTCCCACTCTTCGCTTATAAAACCAACGTCTCCAGCTACAATCCGCAGCTCGCCGGCTCAGCAAAAACCCTATACACTGTAAGCCTCTCTCTCTCCTCTCTCTCTCTCTCTCTCTCTCTCTCTCTCTCTCTCTCTCTCTCTCTCTCTCTCCCCCGCCGCTTTATCCTAGGAGTTCAGATCTGTTCTATGTATCTAAATCGATTCTATTAGGGTTTCGCTAATACAATTCCAATCTATTGTATGGATGTTTGGATTTGCAGGAGGTAAGTGAATATGGCGGTGCCGTTGCTGAAGAAGTCGATCGTGAAGAAGCGGGTCAAGCACTTCAAGAGGCCCCAGAGCGACCGCAAGGCCTCCGTCAAGGTATAATACCAAAATCCTTCATCTGCCATTTTTTTCTGATTTTTTTTTTTTTGAATTTTCGTTTTGTTTTAGTGTCGATTTATCTGGAGAAAGGAGAAAATGATGATACTGTTGTCGCCCCAGTCTTACTTGCATTTTACAATGGATGCAAGATGGTGATAGACATACTTATATCTGATTCCGTTGCCATATATTGAATTAGGTAATTAATTTGTTTGTATAGATTTATATAACCGTTTTATTGGGTTTTTTTTTTTGGTTGAATTTCGTTGCAAACGTATGGAACAATTGTTTTTCGTGTTGTCGAAGCGGTACAAGATACCAGTTCGTTATTTGAACTTGGTTTTTGATGGATATGGGGATAGCTATTTCGCCGCGTCTTACTTGCATCTTAAGATGCAATGTGGTGAATTAGTGATCGACTATCTGATCTTTTTTAGCAATAAAAATTTGGGTTTTTACCTTTTGATTGGTCAATTTGTGGGCAATCTACGGAATTTGCTTCAGTCTTGTCACAAGTTTACTGGTTTGTTAGAAAGGGTTTTAATATGAAGCGAAATGCAACAAGAAGTGATGATTTGTACCCATCTATTCTGCAATTTGAATGATGAATACTTACATGCACTACCATCTGATCTTCGTTGCATTTCCATTTTCATTTACCACTTTTAGTAATTTGTTTTGTTTTCTTAAGAGTATTAACTCTTTTTTTTTGTTTCTGTTTGGAAGTAAGTCTGCAATCCGTGATGCAAATATTTAACGCTAATGACATCCTGTGATTATTTAGTTAAAATCACCATCTTTCGACTGAGATTGCAGTTTGAACAGTTAGTTTATACATTGTGATTGCTCCGGTTGCTATGTGGTTGTGTGTGAATATGCATTGGTGTTGTATCTTTTAGGAGTCGTTTGCCTATGGTATCTGATGTCCAGATTTATTATCTGTGGCTGGACATTTCGTTAAACAAGGCGTACATAGAAGTTTACAGGTCTTTGCGACACAGTTAGCTTTGATTCTCAACAGCTTTCTGTTACTTTAACCCTGCAAACATTCATTTTCCTACTTTGTTTATTTATTGGACCTTATCATTTCCTTGTTTTAAATTGCTCTGACTAATCATGTAAATATACTTTTGGTTTGACAGCCCAGCTGGAGAAGACCAAAGGGTATTGATTCTCGTGTTAGAAGAAAGTTCAAGGGATGTGTTCTCATGCCCAACATTGGTTATGGGTCAGACAAGAAGACTCGCCATTATCTTCCCAATCATTTCAAGAAGTTTGTTGTGCACAACGTCAAAGAGCTTGAACTGCTGATGATGCACAACAGGTAAACCGAGGACCTTTGTTTTGTCTCTGTAAGTTCCGATTTAGTTTTCACATAACATTTCTAACTTGCATTGTCTTTCTCAATCAGGACCTACTGCGCTGAGATTGCACACAATGTTTCCACAAGGAAGAGGAAAGAAATTGTTGAGAGAGCCGCGCAGCTTGATGTTGTTGTCACGAACAAGCTGGCCAGGTTGCGCAGCCAGGAAGATGAATGAGCTCGTCTCTAACCTACATTTTGTAGTGAGCATTATTTTTTGGCACAATGATGAGTTGTAATCTTGATACTTTAAACACCGAGAGTCGGATTTTTATCTGTTACAATGTGAGCAATTGAACATGGGGTTTTATTTTTGATCGTGATTCTGTTATGTTAGAACTATGTTCATTTCAAATCCAGTACCTTCGTATTACCATTTTGTTACCAGATCTGCGAATTCGTCTTCAATGCCGGGCGATTCGCTCATCTTCCACTCCACTTCTCTCTCTTTCGCTTCCATTTCCTCTTTCATTACTTGCAAATCAAGCAACCCAACCGTGCTCCTCTCTATCATCGAATCCATTATTTCAATTTCCGCAAGCAGTTGAGAAACCCCCTTCCCGCTTTTATCGTCATCTCCTCTCTCGGGCATTACATCGAACACCTTCACTCCAATATCAGCTTCCAGTTTTTCCTACTTGTCGAAGTCTGGCTTCCGCGTAATTTTCTTCGTCTTCTTAGGGAACCAAATTGAAGTCTTTGGTTTCGATTTCAGAAGCTGCCTCAGTGCGGTGGTTCTCCGTCGCATGATGATCGGCGCTGTCGATGGTAGGGCGGCTCGCCATTGATGATCTCCGCTACGAGAGCTCGATTTGGTAGCAGTGCAGTCAGATTCAGGCAGAGTCCATTATATAAAGAACTCTCAAAACGGTGCCGTTGGCATCTCAAAGCAAATTTCAATTTTGCTATTTATTTCTCCTTTTTTTCTTTGGCCCCTCCGATTGTTCCATTTCTTTATTTCTCCATTGAATAAAGTTAAAAGTAACAAAAACACCCTCAATTTTTGTCAACTCATTTTGACCCATTGTTTATTTAATTGATTGTATTTTTATCATTTTGGTCATTATCCAATTTTTTTCACGGAACGACTTAAATAATTGATGATGGACAAATTCAAGGACCAAAAATGAGAAATTATGTATCTCAGAGATCATTTTGGCTAAAAAGACTTCTTTTTCAGCCTCAGTATCATGCAAAAGGCAAATCTTTGATCGAAAATGTAACCAACTTCCTTCGATCTTCCTTCTAACCAACCCAGTTTCTGATAAATTTGCTCACTAAGTAACCCAACTGTAACCAGGTTGTTTTACAGTTCTCGTCTGTTTCATCTTCTCTCGAATTCTCGAGACGTCGCTCCATCTATTTGCAGAAGCATATAAATTTGACAGTAAAACATAAGCAGCACTGCAATGCGGGTCAAGATCTTCAATGCGTTTTGCAGCTCTTTCAGCCACGTCGAAATTGCAATGCATCGTGCAAGCGCCAAGTAAAGTTAGCCATACCGTCTTGTTCGCTTGCACGGGCATGTTCTTAATCAGCTCCTCTGCTTCTTCCAACTCACCGCATCGAGCTAAGACATCCACCATACATGCGTAGTGCTCAAGTTTCACCTCGACAGACTTCCGCTGCGAGAAGTATTCGAAAAAGCGTCTTGCTTTCTGTAACATCCCGGAATGGCTGCACGCAGAAAGGAGCCCCGTGAATGTGATTTCATCTGGCTCTACTCCAGCACGTATCATTTGGTTAAAGAGTGTCAAAGCCCACATGCCACAACCGTGTTGCGCACATCCGACTATGGTTGAGTTCCATGACACAATGTTCTTATCACCGATTCTCTTAAATATAACAACTCCATCATTTATGCTTCCACATTTTGTATACAAGACGATGAGTGAATTACCGACAAAGACATCAGTTTCAAAACCTAGCTTAACCGCTGATGTTTGAATCTCCTTGCCCCGATCAAGATCTGCTAATCCGCAACACGAATTCAAAGCACTAGTGAAAGAAGACTGATTAGGAAGGACGCCCGATTTCAGCATGTTCCTGAAAACCCTCAACGCATCTTCGTGTTGACAGTTCAAACCACATCCTGTCAAAAGAGCCGTCCATACTACAACATTCTTATGCAAGCTCTCGTTGAAAACGTTGTACGAATTCTCCATTTGCTTGCAGTTTGCATAGAGTGTTATAAATGAAGCAGCTACATACTCGTCGAAGCAGTACCCTAACTTGACAATCTGACCATGAATCTGAACACCTAAATCTAAACGCAACAAATTTGCAGAAGCTGTCACCACACACACAAGTGTTGTCAAAGTGGGTTGCACACCAGAACCCATCATCTCTCGAAAAAATTGCAAAGCTTCATCCGTCCTCCCAATTCTGTCAAGCCCCCCAATCATCGAAGTCCACGAAATCACATTCTTACAATGCATCACTCCAAACAACTTCTTAGCATCTTCCACTCTTCCATTACTGAAGTATCCATGAATCATCGAATTCCAAACCGCCACATCCCTCACAGGCATCTCGCGAAACAACCGCTCTGCCATCTCAACATCACCAAACTGCAAGAATCCATTCATAATCGTCGTCCACGAAACAACACTCTTTCCAGGCATTCCATCAAAAAGCTCCTTAGCCTTGCTCAAATCCCCACAATCCAAACACCCTTTGATCATCGAATTCCAAGAGACTGCATCCTTCTCAGGCATTTCGTAGAACAGTTTGAGGGCATTGTCGAGCCTGCGCATTCGCGCATACCCCGTGATCATCACGGTGTACAAATCAACGCTGGGAAAAGGGATTTCATTGAAAACTCGGCGAGCTTGGTCTAGATTTTGGTTCTTTAGGTGATCAGAAAGCAGTGATTTGTAAGATGGGGCGGTCAATTTGGTGTAATTCATCAAACCCACCAAGCATTCGGAGAGTTTCGGAAAACTTTTGTGTAAATTGGAGCGTGAAAGGGAGAGTGAAAGTGGAAACTGTGAGGCTCTGAGGCTTTGAAAAATGGCGGGAAATCTTAGCATGACCGTTAATCGGTAACGGTGCAGAAAACCAACGTGCTGCGGAAGACAGACTGGTTGGGTGGTTTACACTAAAACGCTAAAACGCACCGTCTTGTACGCGTCCAAAGTTTCTTGCCCTTCACATATGACTTCAGCTCACTATTTTAACCCAATGCACTTTGAATAAATTAGAAGAGTATTAAACGTAAAAATAAATACAAGCGTGTAGAAGGAGAAAAATAGTGCAAAATCATTTTATTATAAGTTTTTGCTGTTAATAATAAAAATAAATTTGAATTTTATCCAACTCTTATTGCACTAGACAATAATAATTGATCGGTGCAATATTTTTTTCTCTAGTTTGATTCTTGAAGTTCTCACTAACTTAAACGTAGTCAGGGAGGTTTCATTCTTATTGTTCTTGTGGATTAGGACATTTGTCTGGCATAGTGTGTTTGCTTCTTTGCACCCGAGTTTGAATTCTCTTTGTAGTTTAAAGCAGTTTAAACCATTATTTGCATTAAAAAAAATAAATGAGTCAGGAAGGTAACGCTACGTAAACAAAAAATAATAATATATGTGTCCAACTTGATAAGAATACCACTTTCTTTTAATCTCTTAGGAAGAATTGAATGGCACAAAGCCTAGAAAAAGAATGTACCCCAAAAAGAAGACTTAAAAATGTGAGCCAAGTAAGAATCTGGACATTTTTTGCTTGGTTTGCCTTGATCATCAAGCATCCACCTCCTTTACAGCCCCACACATTTAGGGACCAACACCCTCAGCAAGAAAAGAACCAAAACCTTCTTCCAAGTTCCATTCCATATATATAATAAGATCACCCCTTTCTGCTTTAACACATGCAACAACAAGTACAAATCCTTTCTGCATCCAACAGCTTTTGATCCTACAGAAATGGCCAACCAGCAGTTAAAACCCGTTGCCGGTCTGCTTTTGGTTCTCAATTTATGCATGTATGTCATCGTTTTGGGCATTGGAAGCTGGGCCATCAACAGAGCAATCGACCACGGTTTCATTATTGGTAAACGTTCTTAACTGCTTGAGCTACAACCCCTTGTCTCGGTGTCTCTCTTTCTTGTTTTACACTTTTTGTAGTATATGATTTCTTCTATGTATGCTAATGCTGAGTGAGACTTCTGTAGGTCCTGATATTCATCTCCCGGCACATTTTTCCCCCATATACTTCCCCATGGGAAATGCTGCGACCGGGTTCTTTGTGACATTCTCGCTGCTCGCCGGAGTTGTTGGCGCAGCTTCAGCTATTTCCGGTATCAACCATCTTCGATCTTGGACCTCTGAGAGCTTGCCGTCTGCAGCCACAGCTGCTACCATTGCCTGGACCCTCACCGTACTTGCCATGGGGTACTTATAAGTCATTGCCATCCATAATAACAGATGCATAGTTGCATACAATTGTTTGAACTACTTTTTCTCTGTATTAACTGGCTGTTAACCTAATTCGTGCAGCTTCGGTTGCAAGGAGATCGAGCTTCGGATCAGAAATTCCCGCTTGGTAAGATGAAAATTTTATGTTTTGACAAAAATGGTTATCGAACGAACCCTAAAATACTCATTCAATTTCTTTGCAGAGAACAATGGAGGCCTTCTTGATCATCCTTACCGCGACGCAGCTTCTGTATTTAGCAGTCATTCATACCGTTGCATCGAGGAGATGATCTTTTAGAGTAGAACAACTTTTGTGTTTGTGTGCAGCGTCTGAATTCTTGTGTGTTAATTTTATTTTTTTCACTTTTCACTTTGAATAAACCTAGCCATGGTTATGGTATCAATAGTGTGATATAATTGGATTGGATTGAATACATAATGTTTTCAACACTCATCTTATGAATTACGCTCTCAACGCTGGAATTTTTATAGCATGACGTCCAACGCCTTCATCTGGTGTTACTAACTATCCATCACGACTGGTAAATAGAAGATTTTCAACTCCAATCAATAAGATACGTATAACGGCTATGAATGCAAACAAGTACAAGAGCGCAACATGCCAAATAAGCAACAAAATTGATGGAGAGAAAAACCATCAATCAAACACTTTCACTATTCGAGCGATATGCTAATATATAAATTACGGGAAGCGGGATTCGAACTTGGCTACAACAATCAAGTGAAGACTGATTGAGAAGAAGTTGCAAGTTTATGTCACACCACTGGCCTACCAATGCAAAAAAGGAAGTAAAAACAACAGAGAAAACTAGTCTGCAAAATTAACAAGAAAGAAAGGTTGTAAAAGCACGAGATATAAAGCTGCCTACTATTCCCAACACCATCACCACCACAAATCTTAAATTGGTTTTTATCTAATCGGGTTCTTGCCCAGTATTCTTTAGGGGACAAAAATACAAGTTCTAATATCGAAATATCATAAAATTCTCTGAACGTTCTTGATTCTTCACTTCCATAAGCTTCATGAGTCCACTGAAACCCGTCATGCTCGTTTTTTGGTTACAAAACCGCTTCATCCGTTGTTCCTGCATCACAAGAAACCTTGAAAAAGTCAGCCAAGATGCAGTTTAAAAGGTACCACAAACTCGAACGGTAACATCAGTCAATTCCATAGAAAATTGTTATGCAGGAAGGCCATGCTTATATCTCAATGCTGGCATAAAGTTGAGCAATAATCTATAGCTCAGCACCTAAAACTCAGCAACGTTCTCAGAATATGAGACAATTTAAGCAGGTTCGGATCAAATCGGAAAATACCTGACTCTTGAAAAGATCACATTCAGATAGCACGCTTCATAGATAAGGTAAAACAGAAATGCCTAACAAATTCTCCTTTAGGTGAGCCAGCAGCTATCTACCACTCCTAAACGACAAAATATGAGACCCTGTTCTTTTAATCTCAAGTACAATCTCTATCTACCTTTACAATCGGCATAAGGGACTGTGGACATCAAGATATGAGTTCTTGAACATTTGGAATTCCGGCTTCTATCTAATTTCTTCTCCACGAGGACAGCTGAAAGTCTGAAAGTACTGCTTTAAGTCTCCTTTGGGAAAAAGCCTCAACAATTTCTTCTCCATTCTTATCTTTAGAAAAAAAAATACTTAAATCCAGGCACTATGTATTGTTATAACTTTACTCTTCTTCTCACTGCTTTACTACTCAATACTTGTATAGCGTGACAATCCTACTTGATTGATAACTAAATTTCCTTTTAACTCCGTAAGATAACACATTATGCAAAACATTAAACGTAATTCTCCATCCACTCATTCCATAGGCAACATGATAAACATTATAAAACCCTTCGTATGAGAAAATCGTAACCAAGGCCTTTCGTGGCAACCAATCTTGACATAGTGACTAGGGTGGATATCTCGTATACGAACGCTAGCAGTTTGCCCTGCCTCCTCCAGGGACACTTCCAGTTTTTGGTCACTATTTTTAACTAGAACTGTAATCCATATTCTATAAAAGCATAAATCAGACACCTAGAGACCTTGGTCAGTAAAGATCAAGCATTCAAAATCACATAATTAGAAATGACCACTTAAACAATTATGGCATCCCTGTTACATCATAAACACTTCTGACTACCTCACTGACCCAGTCTGCTCATTTGCATTGACAAATATATAGAGACAAAAGGCAAGACATGTTATTTGAACTTCATAGAAAAATCCCAACCTGAACTCATCTACCGGAGCCTGTTATCACATCCAGAATTCCACAGCAGCTAAGCCAAGATGCTTTTTGCCCCATGGGTGGGGCCGGAGCTACTAGAGGCTGCATAATTCCAGGCAAAGAAATTGCATTTAGTTATGGAAAAAAAAAGAAAGATATAACATCAACCTTTCAATGAAGAAAAAAATGTGGCCAATACCTGCTTTTCAGAATATTCTGGAACCTCAGTATCCTTGATGGGTTCAGCATCATTACTAACTTGGGCCAGAGAAGTACCTAATGATGGCAATGCTTTACTCTCATTTTCTTTAGACGCAGATTCCACCACACTCGAAGATGCCTTGGCAGTATCATTCAGTAATGGCAATGATTTATCCTTAGTTTTCTTTGATACAGGATCCCCAATAGGCAGTGATGTCTCTGTACCATTCTCTAACCCCGCATTTACTACATCATTGGAGATCGCTGCACTTTCATCTAGCGTACTTTCTGTGACAGAAACCTCATGCTTAACAGAATCAACAGAAGGGACACTCTCTGTAGTAGCTGAACTTGTAGTCTTCCCAGCTGGTACATCTTCATTATGAATTTTTTCCTCCGGAACTGAAGCATAGGTATCCTCCTTTCGCCTTCTATTGACAACCCGAGACTCTTCATCTGAACTACTACTGCTAGAGCTTCTAACGTCCCCGTTAGATGATCCCTTTCCAGACTTAGCATCCTCAATAACCACATCTTTGCTCCCAGAATCGTCTTTCAGTTCCCTCTCAATTCCAACTTTATGAACAGCCCCCTCATCCCTAGGCACTCCGTTATCTTGGGAGTTCACATCATTACTTCCTAACATGGTTCAATTCAATCACAAGACTTTCAATCAAAATCATGCAAAGCTTAAGACTTCAATAAACACCCATTAAGCCAATTCAAAACCTAAAAGTGTCAAAGACTCAAAATTCAAAACTGTCATTAGAGAGGGGCATAGAGTACGAAATGAGAGTTTCACTAACTAGCATGCAACCACAATTTGTTCACCCAGAATAAAGCTAAACACATCACATCCGCAAATACCCAACAACCCAAATGGGGGAAAATGAAACAAAATCAAAGCTGCTTGATTCATCCCAACCAACCCAAACCAAAAACACGAAACTGGTAAAAACCCAATTACCCAAATCGATAAAATAACAAGAAAATTTAACTGAAAAGGGTTCGGAAACAATCGAGTGAGAGATGGGTAAGTGTGGGATTGATGAACGGACAAAGAAAGCACCTTGAGGAGGAGGAGGATTGGATGTGCCGTTGTGGGTTTCCTGCTCCTTCTTTTTCTTGGCAGCTTTTCGCTTCTTGGCACCTGATGGCATGATTACAGGCTCTCTCTCTCCTCCTTGTGGGGATTGTACAGCAGGAATGGGGTCTCTCTCTCTCCTCTCGGACGGAGAGACAGATCTTCGTATTATTCAATCGAATTCAAAACCCCCGATAGTCTTCTCCTTCTGTCTCTCTCTAAAAGGTAATTATGTGGGACTCTGTTTTGGTGGCGAGGATCTATAACTGGATATTTTTTAAAATATAATAAAAATTAAAACTTGAAATTGGTAAGAAATAAGGAGAAGAGGATTGGGATTTCCCAAGAAAATTTTCAGGCAATGATCCTCTCTCCCTCTATATATAGATTTGTGTGAAGATTCTATGTGTTTTGGTTGTGCTAGTTTATATAAAAATTGGAGACTTATGTCCGAGTCATCCGGCAACAGTGACGGAGTCAGTAATTTATAATTATAACTATGAAATCATAAAATAGAAGCTTCCAAAAATTGATCATACTTTTTTATATAAAATTGCCTATATATATATGTATTGCAAAAAATTAATTCCATAAACCCTAAAACTCTCAATAAGCCCATGTTGAGAAAAAAATACTGATATGATATGATTGAGAGTTCCGTGATACAACCAAGTGCGATGAAGGGTACCTGACCTAACTTAAACATCGGAGAAGTTTTGAAATAGGAGATATGATTGGGTGAGGAAGGCATTTGCGTGTTTGATAAGTCTTTAGCTTGTTTGAGAATTAGCATGTTATAACTTTTTTTTATAAATAAAACATAACACAAACGATGCAATTTTTGTTTGTTTCAATTTAAAGATATTGATGAAAGTTCTCCTTGTTTCATTTGTCTTAGTTAGTATAGGGATCAAACGACATTTCAAATAGGGGATTTTAGATTTATTGTGGTTAGCAGTACCCAATGCCCCCATATTGGGTTTGTTATTGGCCGAGAGAAGCTTACTTACAATTTGAATGTCATTGTGTCAATATTTTAAAAAATAACGGATTAGCATGAGAAAAAAATTAAATTTTACCATAAACATAATTGATTTGAGATATTGTTACAAACAGCGTTTAGAGGTAAGTCTTAGATTATATAGCATGGGTTATAATTTTAGTGCCAAGTGTCATTTTATTAGTGGGTTCTTGATGTCGATATGTGAATGTTTGAATTTTGGAACGTTCACGAGGAGTGGGAAAAACAAATTGGGGTTGGGCCCTAGAGATTAGAGAGTGGGTCTTTTTTAGGGGAATGTGGCTTAAAATAATTGGGTGCAGGTGTGCGGTATGCAATTTTTGCGTGTCTTTTTGTTTTTCATTTTGGTTCCAAGCGCTAAGACTAAGATATAGTTATGTTAGACTTGGCGCATGGTCGTGTAACTCGTATTTGTCGTGTTCGTATCATATATGTTATCTTATTTGCCTAATAAATAATATGATAATAATCCAATTTATTAAAAGGTTGTATCATTTCATGTCGGATTAATGGGTCGAAATTTCTATACTTAATGTATAAATCTGGAAAATGATATGTTATCTTACTTAACGGGTGACTCGATATTGACTCGAATCGTTAACAAATTCTTAAAGAATGATTCCATAACGATCCGAATTATTAACGAATTGATCTGAAATATGTTATTTTCGTATTATTTTGTGTCGAGTTAACAAGTCTTGCAAAAAAAATCAGTCAAAAATCATGTATTATGTTTTAATTTTGTGTTATGGGACTAATGATTTTTTCTTGGGGTTTTTGGGTTATGTTTATTTGGTTGAGTGGACATAATAATATGAATCCGGGGTGCATGTGATTCTCTGTGAATCTGTGACCGCCATTATTATTTTATGGTTGGAAGTAATGTTTGGCTTTATTATGATGTGATTTGAAAATTTTGATATTGTGCTTCATCTTTTTGCAGCGAAGCCGAATTCTTCATAGAAAAAAAAGTAAATAAATATATTTATTTATTTTGGTAATTTGAGAAAAATTTAACTAAATTAATTTTAAACTACGAAAATGGGATTTGAATTTGAATAAAAAGGACGAGCACACTAATCTAACAACTTAATTAAGTCAAAAAGTATGCACCCACCTTCTTATGCAACGATCTAATATCATATGTTGTCAACAAGACATGCACATATAAAGAAATTAAAACCATTGACTTTTACAACAAAAATGAATGTAAGTGAAAGAGTAGGTTGTGAAGTTTCATATTCTAAGTTCGTTGAACATATGCGAGAAAATAATCGTTGTAATTGTCGTATTATCATGTAATGTTATTTTATTATTTTGTTGTAAATGTATATATAATATTGATTTGTTAAGTTTTGAAGAATCAACAACAATTCTCTTTAAAAATATCAATCATATTAGATAATCATATTATACGTGCAACTTAATAACACCTTGTACGTTCTAATCTTTAACATGTATATATAAACGAAATAACTAGATACTATTGCAATAATGTTTTATCTCACTTTGTCGAGAAATGTTGCAAACTCCAATACCCCACTCACAAATAAAAAAGAAAAATATCAAAGAAAAAAAATAAGGAAAACGAGTGATGCTTGAGAAAGTGTCTACTTAAACAATAATTTGTAAATTACATAATGTGTCGGTTGATGATTGAATTTTCTCTTTAAACCACTAAAAAAGGAAACAAACCATCAACCATCGCATCACGTAATCTACAAAATATAATCTAAAGAGATGATATCCCAACTATTTTCTCGATTGATGGTCAAATTTCTTTTTTAAATTATTTAAAAAAATTCAATCATAAACCGCTGCATCCCGTTGTTTACAAAAAATAATCTAAAAATCTATGTGGATAACTCTTGTAAAGTGAGGAGGCATGCTACTGCGTCTTCTCACACACATCATACTCAAAAGTGATTCAACATCCTTGACTTGTCTGATATGATTATTTATTTTATAATATAATATTTTAAACAGGTGTTTAAAGTTTAATGTGGACAACGATAATATTAATAATACCAAATTTGACAACATAACATTCAAGATTAATGATTAAGACGTTGGACGATGCCACTTAAACCTTTCATTATGAATATTGATTAAGTCGGGATCTGTCGGCAGACCCAATTCTAATAAACGTGCTTGTATTGATAAGGGTTTCGTAAGCAAATTTGGATTAAACTAGTTAGTTCCGACATCGTATTTTTTGAACTCATATTTTGAATTTTCTGTATAGCAGATTAAAGGAAAAAAAATTTGAAATGTTATACAAATTTTTACATTTTTTTTCAATTTGTCATTTTATCTTAACTGCATTAAGTTTTCCAAATTAGTAACTTGTCTTCAAGGTTAACTCCCCTTCAAATAAGTTGCCTTTGACAACCCTTCAAATAAGTTGCCTTTGACAAAAAAATTCTAAGGTTCCTGAAAAAATATAAGAAAGGGTTGACCTAGTGTACGATGATATGAGGGTTTTTCGTTTGAAAAAGGAGAACGACCTGCATTCACTTCTCTGTGTTTTGGAGTGAACATGGCTAAAAAATATAGTCATTGAGGACCCTTCAATCTATGGTAGTGTTGGATGATAAACTTTATATTGAAATATCCTAAATAATCCTAAACACAAATCATGTGACTTATTTTATATGCAAAACATAACAGAGTTAGAGTGAGATGACAAATTAATGATTTCGGAAAATTAGTACGACAAATCGCTTCAAAATTTTAGTTCATAGGACAAATTGAAAAAAATGTATAACTTCATATGACATTTTAAAAACAATTTCCTAGTTTAAAATATAATTTTTCTGTAAGTAGTCGATTTCCTTATTAAATAAGACATTTCTCTTCAACTATCTGCGTTTCAAGTTCAACTTATCTCTTCTCATTCTTTAATATAAACCAACAAACATAAAAGTTTCATTGACCATGCTCAAAGAATTAGATGGACATTGAACCAGGATCATCTCCTGAGCAATTCCCTAGGGATCCTAGGGATCCCGCAATTATGTCCGTTCATCGTATATCGTGTGGTTAGAAATCATTTAAAATTTAAATTTTAAAATTCAAATATGTATAGTACCTAACGAAAACTGATCGTAAGATATAAAATTAACGGACAAGATTGCGGGATCCCTAGGATCCCTAGGAAATTGCTCAAGAGATGATCCTGGTTCATGGACATTATACAGACCAAAGATCCAATGTAAGTCCACTGTTTAGGCCCATGATCAAGATCTTCCAATCAACTCCATCCGACGGTCAAGAGCCTAAGAAAATCATACACCTCACCACCACAGAAACATTTCCCAGAAAACAGAGCAGCACTTTTCACTTTCTTTATGTACTTCTCCGAACCCAACCCAGTCTCTGAAAAATTCTACTTCGATTTCAGAGTTGCAGATCCATAAACCTTCATATCCAAAATCTCACTCACTTCACCAACAATCCGTCGTCGTTTTGAGCTGGATCTCAGTTCTCTACTCTTCAAGGAAACAGAGCCTGAAGAGGAAGAGGGAGAAGAAGAAGAAGAAGAAGATGGATGCTATAAGGAAGCAAGCCAGTAAGCTCCGAGAGCAGGTCGCCAAGCAGCAGCAGGTGATTTACGAACAACCCATTTCTTTGTTTTTTAATTTTCTCGTTCTCGTTCTCGTTCTTTTTTATTTTTTGAAGTAAAGTTTTAAGCTTGCTGGTTCACTGTTTGGTTACTGAGAAAATGCGGCGGTGGATTTCCTGCTTTGTGCTTGTGTTGATTTTCTAAATAATGAATTGGGTTGTAAATTTGAAGTGATTTCAGTGAACCCAGTTCGTTATTCGATCGAAAATTTTACTGTTGTTGATTTCTTGAGAGAAGAATGGAGCTAGTTAATTGAATTAAGCAAATTCTGTTCATTTGGATTTGAATCGTCAATCCGGATCACCTAAATCTGAAAATTTGTTCCTTTTCTGTAATCTGTATAGAACCAGTGAGCAAATATAGTTTGAATTCGCTGTATTTGTTTGTATCGAATTTCTTGGCGAAGGGGAAGATTGAATTCATTGTTTTTCAAATGAACCCGAATTCGGTAATTATCTGTACACTTTGTTGACAAAATTCAGTAGTGGTCGATGATTTTTGATAGCACACTTTATGCAATATATAGCAAACACCACCCTTGGACAAGTGTAGAAAATAGCACACTTTATGCGTTCGATGATAGTAGAGACAGGTGTAGAAAATACCACCCTCGGATTGCTAACTTAAATTATATAAGTTCATATAGCACTCCATTATGGTTCTTCTGCGACTCCGTTCTTTCGATTTATCAACTTTTTTTAGCTTGTTAGAAATATTCATCCATTGATTAGTTGCTATT